GTAAAAAAATTGGTTTAGCTCATATACGGTCTTTTTTCTACGAAGCGCCATTTTTTTATGAAAAATGTCCAATTCCGATATTATGGATATTGGGATTTTCAGTTTACATCCCATGGACACCTTTAATGTGCTCGGGACCTAAGTATCAAGCCTGTTTCTGTTTTAAAATTCGAGTTGAAGACAATTTTTTTTTTTTCAATTCGTGTTTTTTTTTGTTCAATTGTTTATAACTTTTGAACAATAATTTTAAGATTAATTTTGAAGCCATATTCGAAAAGGGCATTAAATTTCCCGTTAGATACATGAACTCGTTAATTTTTAGCAAAATTCTGAATAGTAAAGATTTTTGCCTAAAGTTCAGTTGAAAAAAGTGTCCGGCTGGGCGCTAATGGGTTAACCAGCTCAGGGTTCGTCCTTGTATCCTGTCCTGACAACAAACCTGACGAAGGTGGTGGAGTTTTATTCCATGGCCTTCGTGAGTAAACAATCAATTTCTTCTTTTCGAAAAATGTCCCAAAGATTCGGAATTGAGCCCTCCCAATTTTCGATTATAAGGTTACGTTGACGTAAATACTCATTTCGCATCTTTTCTCGTAAGCTCTTTAATTTTTCTAAGCCTGAGATTTCGGAATCGGAATCGTGCTTGTGTATACTCTCATCGGAGTCGCAGTCGTAATAGAACAGCATCTTGCGCTCTCACACAATTGTTTATAATTTAAGATATTTTTAATTTGTTGTCACAAAAATCACTTTGTGCTTCGTTCGATGCGATCTTTCTTTGATCACGCTGCGGCGTCGTAACGTAAACTGGATATTATATTAGTGGCAGTGCGAGCAGCTCTCTATCGTGTCATTTGAGCGAGATACCAGCCCAGAACGAGCGAGACGGAGACGTTTCGAAGGCATGAGTGTCGAGTGACACTCACAAGCCGCCACAGCAGGAGCGAGCGAATAGACTCTCCGCACGCATGAGTCATGACTCAAAGGTGCCGGACAATAATGCACAAAGCAAGTAGAAGCTTCTGCACGACGCACACAAGAAGAATTAAGAAGAAAGAAAGAAGCTCCTGAGGCACGAAACCTACGATTATTACGCTCGCTTGGTTTCTAAAAATTAACTTCTCAAATCCAACGCACTTGCAAAGGTTTCGCTTCAAAAATTTAAAAGTTGTCATCGCTGTTTTACCGACGAGTCGCGTACTCGATCGCCAGCAACGATCCGATCTGCCTACCGATGGAACTACCGTTAAAATTCTCTTGCAGGTCTAAGCAAGCATCGAACAGCATCGATTTCGCTGTACGGGCTAAGACTCGAGCAAATGCATAGATCGGCATCGGAGAAAGGTGAAAGCTTGAGCTACACGAGAGCGTAGCAGTGGGACCTGCACACTTATAGGCCAGTCGCGCTAAGTCATATTAAAAGCATCGCCGGAGGCTCGCGCAATAACTGCGCCATCGGCCCCGAGACAAGGACTCGAGCGTACACGCAGTACAGGCTTCTTCGGCTCTTCCTCTGCATGTGCGCGTCGAATGGCTGTTCTAAGAAAAAGAGAGTGTGCGATTCGCCGAGTTGAATTGTGGCACAATCGAGCGGCGGCACACGTGTAACGCAAGCTGTAGGTATAACTGTATCGATATACATTCGCGATTATAATTCATTGGCAAATCTGTGTGACGTGCGCGCGCAGAATCGCTGCTCTTGGCCTGCGCTAAACTGCTCTCGCGGCACTTGGGACAGACTTCGGAGTCGCTCTCGCAGATTTTGCGCCACACACCGACGTAAACGCTCGATTACGTCCGTCAGCCGTGGTGTGAGTGTGCACACGGACACAACACAGACGCACCGCCGCGCGACGATTCGCAGACACACCTATATACAGTTCACACGCACATGCACACACACACACACACATACACATACATACACACTGAGCAGAGATCGCCCGTCGCCGATTAGCCGACTGCCGAGCCCGGCGCAACAGGCATACGCAGCGCACGAGAGCACGACTTGTATGTATGTAAGACAGTGCATAGCATAGTGCATACACACAGACGGCGCAGCAGCACGTCGCGAGAGTGAGTTAGTCGCCTGTACGTGCAAAGTGCAAAATGGCCAAATGTCAGCAGCGGCAGCAGCAGCCACAGCAGGCCGCCGAACGGTAGCAGCCCGAGCGACCAAAGTCTCGACCAGCAACGCAATTAGCTCCTGAGAGCCCACGGCCCGCAGGTGCCAAAGACGTCGCCGAGTACGATATAGCCAACAGCTGAGAGTCCTGTGTATAGGCTCTCTTAGAGCGGAGCCAACCACGGCCGCAGTGCAGTTCGTGTCGTCGACCACTCGACGTCGGAATACATAATCTCGCTGCGTGGCCGATTGGCCAATGTCCTCTCGACTACTTGTCACAGCAGCTCTCCTACGAGAGGCCGCGAGTGTGTCGCTCCAATCGAGTTTCCTCAAAGTGCCTGCCAAAATTTTCAACGAGTGCTCCTTTTAACGCGCGCCAACCGAGTGCCTTACAGATATATAACTGGCGCGTAGCGGATGTACACGCACGAATTCGTGTCAAGAGATCGTGCGGAGCATCTACTGGTGCCTCAAGACCAGCTGAACGAGAAAAAAAGTGCCTTGTGTCGAGTGCAGCCAGCAGTTTTGGAGCCGCGTGGCCTCCTGATTTAGACGAAACCTCGTCCTCGTATCTGCTGCCGATGTTCGTATTAGCAGGTTGGTCTCGATTACGATCTCAAAGTATACATGTTTTTGTTATTTACTACAAGTCTATCGGGTCTTTTGCATGCCAACAAAGTAGTTAGTACCTAGTCCAGCTTGTCATTCGGAGCATGTTGTGAAAAAATCTTGGACGACTGTTATTATTCTCGTGTTTTCACTTGCTGCGCTACTGCTGCTTCGGACTGGGGTATTTTCACCAGAAAACTCGACTATGGAATAACAAATAGATGCGCGCTCGTGTACGCCTGGCTGCGCAGCAAAAAAATTCCAAACACCGGGGAAAATGCGCGTTCGTTTATACCTGCTGCGCAGTAGAAAGGGTCACATGGCTCGATCGCTGCTCTCACAACTGTACGAGCTGTCTCTTTAGACTCTCTCTCTCTCGCTCTTTCTCGTGAAAATACTCCCGTGCATTGCGCTACCGATGGAATTTGCACAGAGGCGAAAATTTTTTGTGGTTAGAGCGCTCTGACGTAGACTTGGCGCTGTCTATGTGTAATGACTGCACACACCTTTGGCCCTGCATGTGTGTGTGTATGTATACTTACTTGTAATATCGAGCGATCAGGTGATAAACACCTGAGTTTTGCCACTTTTCTACTGGTACACTTGCGATTTGCCCGTAATTACTCATTACTGTGCCTCGAGTATTGTTTTACCTGACAATTTATCATTATTGTTATAACGATTGATAAAGCCTTACCTCGAGCACACTTGTTATTCCTTCATACTGTAGAACTAAAAATACTAATGAATAGAAAATACACAATTTTGGATGTCGTGAATAATATTATTTCAATAATAAGGACAGTTATTAATGTTGATACATTCTATAATATTTTAATCTTTCAATAGTTTAAATAAAGAAAATTAAATAAAAAAAATAACCAAAGCCAGATTTTTAATTGAATTTGGTCAATGATAAATAATCATCATTAAATGCTTATTTTGTACAGTATGTATTGTGTTTTTTTAAACATTAGCTTTTTATTTTTTATTTGTTGAAGACTCATATGCATATAAGAATTTGGAATTAAAGCTATCCCCACTTTCCTTGTAGCAAGCAACAGGTTAGCGTTCTAAGGCTCTCTTTGCTGTATCTCCAAACTCAAATTCTTGTTATAATAAGCTTTATTAAGTTGCATATAAGAATCAAATAATATTGAAATTCAATTTGAAATAAAAATAAATGGTTCATTTTTTTAAATATATTCTAAATGAATATTTGGTCATCATACATAGTAATGAGATTATTCAAGCATAATAATTTCATTTCATTTTTGCCAACTTGAATTATAAATTAAAAAATAATTTAATCTTATGAGATCCATAGAAAATTAAACTTTCAAAATACTTTTTATCAATGTTTTATTGATTTGATAACCATTATATTTGCATTAAAATCTAGTATAAGCTTTAAAATTGTCATTTCAAAAATATATCGCTTGTAGTATTTTTCCTACTATATCTTTCACTTTTTCAAGCTTACCTACATAATCAACAAAGCTTTTGCTTTAGTTTATCCTCTATGTGTTATTGGCTTTCCTTGACATACTTGTAAGTATGATAACAGAACATCCCTTTGACTTAGTAAACACCACAATTTGTTGCCACTTCATTTTCTGCATAGCTTTTTCATCCATTGTTTACAGGCTACATGCATAAGTGCCACTTCATCAACCTGTTTATCTATCCATGAATTGTCATCATGAAGGATGTACATTTTATTAAACCACAAAGGGATCATTCGGGTGTAAAATATAAATCTCCATCAACCCTCTCTATCTCATTGAAGCAAATACTATCAGTATCAGCAGGGCAAAACCTACTGATCTAGTATTTGCTTTTTGGATGGAGAGCATGGCTTCAGGTGCCTCCTCGTTGGACAGTGCTGAAAGTAGCGGTGAGATTTAAGCTGTTAGAATTTGCATATAATTCTGAAAGTGAATATGTAACAGCTTCTATAAAAATTAGTTACATTCGATAACATACAATGTAGAGTATTACTAAGTAAAATCTTTAAATGATATAAAAATTTTGCATTATTATGCACTTTCATGCTTAAGTATTATGTTCAATGAACTGCAAAGAGTATTGAAGCATAAAAAACGTACATTCAATCCATCATTTTTACCTATAAAATTCAATAGCTATTTAATAATCAATGAAGCAATAGGAGATAAAATTATTTTTGACTGTGCTTCGTAACATTTTTTTTTTTCCTAACGAATGTGAACTGCGCAAATAACTTTCACGTATTACGTGCAGTAAAAAATAGAAAACGAATAGCTTTACATAAAAATCATAATTAACGAGATATTTCGATTGAAAAATGAGCAGATTTTATCGAATTATAAGTAATATGTTAACATATTATCGGTCCATTTTCGTGTTATATGAACTTGCATTGGTCTGAAATAACAGACTCGTGGCATGCTGCGAGTAGTTATTCGAGTAGCACATCAAACTTGATTTTAAGGTGCATAATATTCCGCATTATTAAATAGCTCCAAATATTTATATAAGCTCTCATTGTTATGGAGAAATTAACAATGGCTGAGGCATTCCTCACGCGGAAAATATTCATTTTCCAAGTTTCATAATCATAGCATCACTTCTATTAAAAAATATTGATCTCTCAGCTACTCGCTCTATAATGTCCTAGATTGTCACCTCCACGCGTGCGAGTAATACCAGCAGCTTCTCATAAAAAAGTGAAATAAAAATGAGATAATAACAAATTAATAAAACCTTACACTCTTCTAATTTCACCTTATAAAACGAAATAATTCTTGAACAGAAAAAAAGAGTTGGCTGAAATACTGGCGATGCGCGTGCGGGAGCGCATGACGGCGATGATTTTCCTCTTTCCCTGAGTGAAAGCCGAGAATCGTTGCCGTACAACACCTCGACTTGCGTGTAAATGTTTTTTTTTCCTTTTCTCTCCATCTTCTTTTTTCGAAGCAACGCAGTCGAACTCGATGGGAGCGCGAGCAAGCATCGGTTCCTCTGTGATTTTTTGCGTTCGATTCATTATCGCTCATGTAGATTATTTGTTTGTGTTTGGTGTTTGTTTTCATGTCGCCTACATGTAACGAGCAGAACGAGACAGTGGTGGCTGTGACAGTGTTGGAAGTCCGGTCGGCGGTTCCGAGTGCCGAAACGACTACGATGATTTAAAAACGCAGTACCAGCTACTGAGGCATAAGCACTCCGATACCATTAGACGGTTTGTTACTCATCGCTACTCTTTAAACACTCATTCATTTTTCTTAATACTCCGTTCCTATGCGAAATTTCCACTTGCACGAGTATTGCACTGTAAAAGTTTTTATCGATCCGAGAAAAAAAGTTGAGAATAATTAAATCCGATTTATTGTTAATAATGCAAGCGCACGAAAAGCTTGACCCAAAACTTTGTTAATAAGCTGAGAATTCATTGAAATTCCAAAACTTTAAGCATATTATTTCAATTAACGCGAGAAAAGAAATGCAACCACAAGCTAGATCGCTCATATATACGTATAAACGTCATCCAATTTCAATATGCTATGTAACATATAGTATATATAGTAACCGAGAATCTATCTAAACAATCAAATCGAGATAGTTTAATAGCAATATCGGTTCTGCCGAAGCGTACCTCATTTCCCGAGCCACGTGCATGCGGGTCTGGTCAAACTCCGTTCCCTTTTTTCCGTGCTAGGGATCGCAGTAGCTATGCTCGCGGCAGCCTACCCTCTTGATACAGTGGAGAGAGCGATAGCTATGCAACCCTCCGCTGGCTGCTTTATATTGCTCATCAGTCGGCCGCTGGCTCCAGCCGCGATAGCCTCGTTTTGCCTCTGCTTTCTCTTTCTCTCGCTCGCTCGCTCGCTCTCGGGCGCTGGATACAAAAAAGAAACAATAGATTGCTTTTTTCCTTTTATTATTAAATAAAAATAGAAAAGCTTGCGCGTGCATAGGTGAGAAAAAACTTACTGGCCAAGTCGGTATAAATAACGAATCGATATATCGTGTTTTAGTGTAGTGCTTTTTATTCTTAGTTGCGAGCGTGCGACGTGCGAGATCGGTCAATCATGGACGAGACTGGCAATATTATTGGCTGCTCCTGCTCCTACGTGCACTGTGACAAGTAAGGGATGCTAATAAGAAAAAAATTATCCTACAAGTAGAGTGTGAATATCGAGCTTGCGTAGAAATGACGATGGTGCCCACGCATCGTCGTCTACGTGTGCATGCACTTTTTTATATCATTGTAAATCAGTCGTCGACGAGCTACGATGTTGACGTAGTAGTAGTACAATTGTACCGGTCGCAGCGTTTGCGCGCAACTTCGTATACCCTTGATTTTTGTACATTTGGTTTCAAGTGACGCTAACTTTTCAAAACAAGTTTACCCAGTTTTTTTTTTGCATTGCTCGTGGTGGTGCGACAATTAAAAACGCGTGAAAAGTGCAAAGTTACGAGGCCAAAGTCAAAATGCAAATTCACAGAGGCAAAAGCGACGTGAGCGGAAAAACAAGCTCGGTGTGCGATTTGATTGTTTTTTTATTTCAGTTTCGTTTCGGTTGACAATAAATTGCGTTCTGACCCTCTGAGCTACATCTCACTTAGCTTGTTGTCATTTCGAATGAAAGGACGGGAGGAAAATTTCCTTTTTCACGCAGACCTTGAGGATAAAATATTTTTATTTCATAAAAGTACTGAAACGTGACATTTTTTTTCGAGTAGATTTTACAGCAATTTATGACATGATAATCCAATAAGAATTTTCAGAAACTTATCAGACGTGCATAATTTTTACGGGATTAATTATTTATGTATTGTTCCGTTGAGTCCAATAAAACTTGACAAATTGTACCTAAATTGAAAGTTTTTATTCATATATACACCTTGAAACTCTTTACTCTAATGAAATTGAAAAAACATGTTATCCTTACATTTTTCACTATCTAAAATAAAATTTCACTAGTATAATATAGCACTAAAATTAGTACCCTCTCTTTTTCTATGTAATTAACCAACTAATAAGTTTCCCTCATAACAAAGGCATTAACAATTGTCTATAAAGACAGTTGCAACATCTCATAGATGGAGTTATTGTATCATTGGAGTTGTTCATTTGTCTTCTCAGTAGTTAGTCTCCGAAAAATTGCACGATTTCTCTCACACATCCCAAACACGCATGATTAGCTCGGATGAATAATAACGAGAAATAACCATTTAAGATGCGAGCATACTATGAAGGAATTAGAGTACTACCGTAATCAGCACATAGCAGCGATGTCACATCAGAGCTCGGACCCTAGTAGCGTCGTCGATCAAGCGTCATCACCGTCCGAGCAACAGCAGCAGCAACAACAACAGCAGCAGCAGCAGCAGCAGCAACCACAAGACATCCCCGAATTGGACTTGAGCGACGCAGCCCAGTCGGCCTCCGAGACCATGAATCAACATTACATTAATGCCCTGAGAAAATACGAGGCCGTCAAAGATGAATACGACTCGCTGAGGAAACGCTACGATGACCTCAAAGCGTCGCATGCCTCAGCTGTCAATAAGGTACGACACCTAACAAAAGACAAAACAAAACGACCTACGTGCATGCTTACGTAGTGCTACTACTACTACTGGTACTGTTCTGACTTATGTACCTGTCCACAATGGAGCTAGCTCTTTTTCTTTCCCTCTTTTTATTCGGTGGAAAAAGTCGAGGTTTTTTTCCCTCTATTTACAGATTTGGGTTTCATCTGCAATACGTGATTCACTTTGCGTTTTTTGTTTCTACTTTATTATTCTGTTAGAAGGATTTGCATGTAAATATCAATATTTAAGATGATCACAGAGAATCGCTTTGATAAACGTATGCTACTGCACTATCTTTTAAAAACTACCATTTTTACCGATAATACCCAATGCAGTAAGGTTTTATTAAAAAGTTTTAGATGAAAAAAATATAAGAGATTATTTATCCACGTTGAGGCTGTCAGGATAGAAAGAGAAGGAAAAAATTTACATTAAATTAATTCTAGTCCATAATTTTCTCGGCTAAAAATAGTTATTCAATATATTCCGCTCAATATGTATAAACTGAACCAGAGTACCTAAAAATTTGAATTCCAGTAAGTTTCACAAAGAGCATTGTTATATTACTTTTTGTTCGTTTATTTTAGGGCATATAATTCGATTTATAAAATTGATAAAACGATAAGCAAAGTTGACGCTTAAAGTTCAGATACATCCTGTATGCAATCTGCACGTATGACTTTTACACACGTGTTTTAGTAAAACAAGTTGCTTTATTGATTTTTACAGGTATATTTACAGAATTTGCTCTGATTAAATTCATACTTTGGTGGATAATTGGCAATTAAAGCACAAATTATCGTTGTAAGAAAAGTCCCCTCGTGCAACGCGTGGGTGAGGTCATTTTGTTTAATTCGATTAAATGAGTGAAAATGTACATGCGTTCGACTGCGCATCGTCGTGTTCATTACCGTAATGCACACCTGTGATATTTTCATCGATCTGTTGCACATCAGGGGAACCTTTTTTTTTATTTTGAATATAGGATATATCTTTTTCTCTTTTACATTCAACTCTCAGGACAATCAGTTTGCTGACATCTGCGCCCTCGTCGAGGGAGAGGTATCTGTTTCGTGAAAAAATACATAAACCCCTCGTGGGAGCGTCTCTTCTCCTCGAGACTCGCGATCGATTTGCTAATCGAAAATACACCTAAATCGAGACATCGATGAAAGTTCATAGACTAAGTTCTTCTAATCAGCTCTGTGTCAAGGAGACTATGATTTTTCGTATATGTTCTGAGAAAAAAATGATATTGCATCATTGTTTCTCTTTTTTTCATGTTTGCGAGTTCTTTTCTCGCTTCTATCTCTTTCTTTTCCTCTCTAGCATAGTTGGTATTTGTATAGATATATATTTATAATAGAAACTTCGCAACACAATCCTATAAAAGCATCTGATATACATATTTTCAAATAGCATATTCGTCGTCGGACACTCGAGTGTATTTCATCGGACAGCAGAATAAGAGAGAAATGAAAGTTTGAGTAAATAGTTATCAGACATGAAGTTTTTTTTCCTAGCATAGTACTTTAGATGATAGAATAATACCTGTGTATCAACGTTCCTAATACGTTTTATATATATATTTTTTTACTGATCATATAGAAAGCGATGTAATACCCTATTCCAATAAAATGATACGGTTATCGATTTTTCTTTAAAACTTGAGTTACTAATTATAATTACAATGAAATAATTAAAAATTGTATTGCATTGGTGGAAAAATTGTTTTTTCGATAAACATTATGCAAGATAATAAATGTTGATTGATAATGTTTAGCTTGAACTCGCCCAAGAAGAGATAGCCCGGCTGAAGAAGCTCTACGACGAAGTCCTCACAGAGTGCAATTCTACGGTGCGCGAGCGTAACGGTTTGAAGCAACAGTGCACAGCGGCTATACGGCAATGGGACATAGCCCTGAGGGAGCGCAACGAGTACCGGGAGGTACTTGCCAAGGTGTCCCAGCAGCACGAGGAGGCCGTCAAGGAGATTAATCAGGCTATGGTCGGTCGCATGAAGGCCAGCAAAGACATCAAGCGCTTGACCGAGGAGAGAAATGCCGCCTTGCACGAGTATAGTCTGATTATGAGCGAGAGAGACACGGTTCACCATGAGATGGAAACTATGAGCAATGACTTGAGCCAAGCTTACGCCAAAGTCACCCACGTAGAGAGCGAAAACAAAAAGCTCACCGAAGAGGTATGTATGGTAGATAGTTGCTCAACTTCATTCTCTTCTTTGACTTTGATGTTTGAAGCTTTCAAGCATCCGACGAATTACTTCAACTAACTTTGCGCGCTCTATCATCTAGTCAGTCTGGTTTTGCTCTTGAAAGACTTTGGCATGCATGTTTTATAAACTATAAGAGGCCGGATTTTGGCAGATTTTTATTTTTTGTTCGTAGAAAAAAGCCCTGTCATATCAAATCGAGACTTTAAGGCGGGAAATATCGTCAGCGTTACACGACCGTGACGAGGCTCTCAAGGAGTGCAACGAGCTGCGCCAGAGATTCGGCGAGACCTATTCCGAGGCTTTGAATCGCGAGCGCAAAAATCGTCTCGAGCTGCGCTCTTACAGTACCGAGCGAGACGTCACGAGCAAAGAGTCGGAGAAGGCTAGCAGCCCGAGAGACTACAAGCGCGCGAAAGAGCGACTCGACGACTTGGACCAGGCCAACATCGAGCTCGACAATCTAAGAAAATTAGCCGATAAGTTGCACACGGAGATGGAAGAAGCCCTTCAAGAGGCTGAAGTATCGAAACGAAGACGTGACTGGGCATTCAGCGAGAGAGACAAAATCGTTCTAGAACGCGAAAGTATCCGCTCGCTCTGCGATCGACTGAGAAAGGAGCGAGACCGCGCAGTATCCGAGCTCGCCAAAGCCATTTGCGACTCTGACGATATCAAGAAGCAGCGCAACGAAGCTTCCAAGGAGCTCAAAGACCTCAAAGAAAAAATTGAGTCGGGCGATCACAGCCTGCGATCTGGCCAGTACCACGACACCGACGACGAGTGGGACTTGGTTCAGGTGCACCTCGATCTTAGTCACCTCGAGGAGCGGGACCTGGGTGTTATGCTAGTGGCTGCTCACGACAACGCATACTCGCATTATCCCGACGACAACGGAATATACGTGTCACAGATTGCCCAGGGCAGTCCTGTAGAGAATATATTACGCGTCAACGACTGCATTGTACGAGTCAACAATATTGACGTTTCATCGACCTCGTCGCGAATGCTTATGGACACATTGAAGTCGTGCAACGCAGGATCCGCAGTTTTGACCATTCGAAGAAGAAGACTCGGAAGAAGATCGCTGAGGACAACTCAGTTGCCCGTCGGATCTTTGCCACATGGAATAACATTGGAACTTGGAATTTACATATCGAAAATTTCACCTGGCTGCTCTGCCGCGAAAGATGGATGTCTAGCCGTTGGTGATAGAGTTTTAAGTGTGAGTACACGTTTAATTATTTCAACTATATTTTGTTCCTGCATCGTTATGAAATATATTATTTTTAATTATAGATCAATGGTAAATCTATGGAAGGAGTATCTACGGCTCACGAGGCTATGTCAATATTGAATGATAATTCCGTGGACGTCATTACCATAACGACATTGAAGGGTATTCCATTAACAGCCGGCTCGAGCGCCGACGCGCTACCGATTGACAGCAGCAGCTTCAGTCCCGAGAAGCAGAAGATGGTCAACAGCTGTTCGCAAACCGAGCAAGAGCGCATGATGATGAAAGCGACCTCGGACGATTACGATCGTCGTTACATGGCTGCAAATTTTAGCGCTGACCGCAGCGTCTATAAAGTTTCCAAGTCCATGAGCAACGAAAAGGCAAGCGGTATCAGCAATGTCTGGGATAATTTCCGCGATAAAATAGATATCGTGCGCGGACGTAGACATAGCAAAGATCGCGACGAAAAGAAAAAACGTCATCGCAACTCGAGCCCCAATACATCGGAGCAGGAGCAAGACGCAATCGCCAAGTTGGATTCAGTTATTGAGAGTTACAAGAAAGTCACAAACGGTACGTGTCTTTTATATATTGTAAGTATTTGATAAACAGTAGTATTAGTTTATTTGAACTTTGATAAAAGCGCAAATAAAATAGCGATTTTCAAATTTCCTTAAATCAAAACGTTTTGCAGCGTGTAGTTGTTCTAAATTATCGTCGATGGTATAACTGATGTACCATCTCTCTTTTTCTCTTTTCTTTACGATTATCAACAGAGCTTAATCTTTCGCGCGGAGGTGATAAAGCAATGATAAGCCGCAGCAAACTCTGTCAATTTTATCGATAATTGTCGCTCGTCATAGCAATAAATGTACGTACACATGTGTCTTATTCTTACTAAAGCAAGTCTGTTGTTCTTGTTAAACAACAGGTAGCAGTGGAGTACTGAAGCGTAGCAAGAGGCGAGGAGCTAACGGTTTGAGCACCGTCGGGCCTGGAAGCGGCATATCAGGCACATCTGGCATCAGCAGTAGCGACAAATCTGCAGCCGCTGACAAGAATGGAGGTACGTGGCCAAAGGCGCGAATTGGCCCTATCATACAAAATGGCACTGGCACGATTATACATCCGCGCAAAACCAAGGAACGCTTGCCCATCAGCGCACTTTTGACCGGTCCACCAAAATACGATGCACCTCCTCCCGCGCCAATCGGGTACCCATACAATCGCATCTCACAACCTGTGCCGTACGCGAATTTCGGCCCTTTACCGATGAGCTCGAACAATCGTCACACGGTATATAGAGCATTAGAAAACTCGGCGGCAGGGGCTAATTACAAGGCCACCTTACTACACGCGGCACCTAAATCATTCGTTCCGGCTACGTTGAAAGATTTCTCCGCGCCAGATCCACCCATGAGTGTATCGATGATGTCCCCGGATGCGAACACTATGGAGCTGCCGATGAAGTCGTTGGATTACTACAAAAGCAAACGTTTGATGTCAAGCAATTCACCGATGAGCAAGTACACTCCGCTGGAGGACTCGTTGCATCACAGTCGGGTGCACTCTCAAATCTACTCGCCGGTCGGAACAACTCCGCTTCCGAGACCGTCAAATTACAACTATCATCCGCCTTACGCGTCGCCACCACATCCACATCTTCAATCGACGCACCACTTTTCTCCTCAACAGCATCATCCGGCAAGTTCGTCGTCGCGCTATCCTTCGCCACCTTGCTTACCGAGCGCTCAGTCCGGTGAATCGATCGGGCTGCCCGATCTTCGCTCGTACAGCTTTGAGCCCCCTTATAGTCCACAGCCACCATCGTCGTTCGCACACTTACACACACCCTCTGTCGATGTTCATCACTATCATAAGCCTAGAGCTGCGCACCCGAGCATGTCGTACGTAGATGTACCACCGTACGTGGCGCAAACCAACTACGAGGGTGGGACGTTCCCGCGCAAAAAGGAGAGCCAGCGATTTCGCATACCCAGTAATCCAAGCGTCACTTCAAAAAGCAGTATTGGTAAACTGTCATCGGGTAGTATAGAAAAAACGTCGGAGCGGGGAAGTCCGATGCCATCTTTTCAGATCGAAATACTAAATAAACTCGAGGATGAGGGTTCAGCGGGCGAAGGAGAGGAGGGCGAGCGAGAGATCATCAGCGGGCCCATCAGTGCCAATGCGGATTACGATTTTTCGTCGAAGCCTGCTCATCGTCAGGTGAGAAGGATAACGCTCGATAAAAATCAGCAACCGCTTGGCATACAGATATCCTGTCTCAAAGCGGGCGGCGTTTTCGTTAGTACCGTCACTGAGCACAGTCTCGCGAGTCAAATAGGACTGCAAATTGGCGATCAGCTGCTTGATGTTTGTGGTATAAATATGAGGACATGCAGTTCGTACCAGGTTGCTGCTAATATCTTGAGGCAGTGTGGTAATTCGTTCACAATGCTTGTGCAGTACAGCCCAGAAAGTAAGTATAGGTGTTGTTCGTTTGGTACCTTCTTTTTAAGACTAATCCTGGGGACATGGTTGCTGGATTTAAATTAACTACACCATCGCTAAGTCCACTGCTAAGTAGTAGCCACAAAATTGATAATATTTTTTGTGTATATCTCTCACATTTTTTACTACTTTTTCAATGTTGATTCATTATGCAATAGTTATTTTTCATGCCTCATCACATGAGACTACACATGATAACACTAATTCTTACACTACGGCCCTTTAATTGAGTTAATTAATCAAAATTGCGACCTCTAACAGCTTAAATGTTTGTGTGATAATTTAAAATAATAATCGGAAATGTTTAATCCAACATGTCCAGAGTACAGCGAGTTGGACGGAAACGGTTCTTCGAGCGATGTCGAGGAAAACGAGAAAGAAGCAAGTCATAGTGGATCGTTGACTCCTTGCAATAGTCCAGAAGCAACGCGCAAAAACGGTGCAATCGTCGAAGAAAATTCCGAGCCAGAACGTGACACAGAGATACCAACTATACCTCAAATACGTGCTCCAAAGGAACGCGAAAGAGACCGCGAGAGGGAACGAGATTTACGAGCGTCGGCTTCAGTCGAAGTGCGAGGGACAGAAACAACGAGGGAACGAGAAATCCGAAATTCGGCGTCGCTGGACATCAACATTAGGAAGCCAGAATTAAGAACAAGTATCACTCTCGATGGCATAAGAAATAGCTTAATCGGCACCGGTACTCTAACTCGTGGCCAACTGAGTCAAGGCGGCACTTCGACCCTTCAACGTCAGAACGCAACCGTTCGAAGTCCGACGCAGGAAGAACAGAAGAGATCGACACCGCCGAACGAGCCTCGTTACCTCTTTATAGAGACGCGTAAATGCTCGAACCTCGGCATCGCTCTCGTGGGTGGAAATGGGGTCGGTATATTCGTTCATACCGTACAGCCAGGCTCGTTGGCCGAGGAAGCAGGACTCTTCTCGGGTGACCGAATTCTCGAGTACAACGGAGTGGATCTGCGACAGGCTACAGCAGAGCAGGCTGCCCTGGAACTAGCCCGACCAGCCGACAAAGTAACGTTGATTGCCCATTATCTGCCCGACAGATATCACGAGGTAAAAGACAAACCCGGCGATAGCTTTTACGTCAAAGCTATGTTCGACCGAATCGGTGAAATGCCCGATGCATTGCAATTGAAATTCAACAAGGACGACATTCTGTATGTCGATAACACCATGTTCAACGGAACGCCTGGTCATTGGAGAGCTTGGCTCATTGACTCTGGAGGCAGAAGAATGACATGTGGAATTATTCCGAGTAAATTCAAGTAAGCTATTAATTATAATAATTTTATATTCAGTCACTAAAATTATGAATGTAATCAATGTTTAATATGATCTAACGTAAAAATCGTTTAAGGATCGAAGAAGAACTGCTGCTTCGACGATCATTGGGTGATTTGGAATCGGACAGTGGTGGAAGTAGAAGAGGTACTACAAGTGCTAGGCGCAGTTTCTTCAGGCGGAAGAAGCATCAACGTTCTTCTAGCAGAGATAGCAAAGAACTTTCACAGCTCACTGGAATCAATATGGGCTGGTATAGTGACAGTGGATCACTCAACGAAGAGAATATGCCTCTAAGCTATCAACGCGTTGAGCGATTGGACTGTAAGTGCATTACGGATTTAAAATCTACTATAGCCGAACAAAAATGACATAAATAATGTTTTAATCCACAGATCCTACTTTAAGACCAGTACTCATCATTGGTCCATTGAATGAGTGCGTGACAACAAAGCTTTTACAAGAGTTTTCAGGTTTGTTCACAAAATGCATACCTGAAGCGATGCATTGTTCACAAGCAACGCTCGAACAAGGATTAAGAGACTCGTTGTACGTTGACTACCGCAAAAAAGGCAGCTACTTCGAATGCACTACTGTACAAGCAGTCAAAAATATATGTGAACAAGTAATTAAAATAATTTATTGAACATTTTACAAAAAAAAAAACATTATATAACTAATTTTAATATTAAATTTTAGAATTCTCATTGCATTTTGGATATATCTCTGGCATCGTTAGAAAGATTACATAGACATCAGATATACCCGATAGTAATTCTTATCAAATTCAAGAGCACTAAACAGATAAAGGAAGTAAAAGATTCACGTTATCCTTCAGACAAAGTTAGTGCAAAAGCAGCCAAAGAAATGTACGAGCAGTCATTAAAAATGGAATCGGAATTCCGACAATTTATAAATGGTACAAATATTATATTTGATAAAATAAATATTTTTCCAAGATTGATGTGTTTATAAAATAGCCAAATTGCCAAATAGCCAACATTAACACAATACTTTTGTTGTTGCAGTGGTTATACCAGCTGGAGTAAATATAGCTTATATTTGTACTCAAGTTAAAACCTCTGTCGAAGAGGAGCAAAACAAAGCATTGTGGGTGCCTCGTGGATTCGCCTGACACTCGAGGGGGGGTTCCCATAAGCCGCAATGGAAATCAATTTAAATTCCATTAGGGGACCCTAACGACGTGTTTCAAACACTAATGCAACATTTTAGTTTGTTGATATATCAAGTGTTTATGGTCTCTTAATTGTTATAAAGTTTTTTTATTTATCGTTTCGAGTTAGCTTGTTCTTCTCTGTCTCGAAATCTGTCTTGGTACCTTGAAAGCTTGTTCTAGTTGAAATTGAATAAAATACATTTGTTATTTTTGGAAAACTGATAAATTGCCACCTTTACATTGTTAAAAGGCAATTTATAAGACAAGCAAAACGATAAGAGACCGTTATACGTCGCATATTGGTTCAAACCATATTTTTTTATTGTAACACTGGAATGAAATTGATTTACGTTGTGACTTTATAACTTAGTTCCTGTAAATAGTACGTATCGGTAAGAAGAGTATACGGAATGTTGTATCTTTTTAAGTCTTTGTTTTCAATTCTCAATATTTTTCAGGAATTTAAAAAATTGTTTTGGAAAAATGTTGTGATTGAATGAAATTGTAAGATTTATATAATGCAAAAGAATTAATTGTTGTCGTTGCAAGTTGATTCTGGAATAGTGGACTTTTATTGATTTACTAAGGAAAAATCAATAAATTTCATAAAAGTATAATATTCATGAATATATTCATAATATTACACAATTTAGAAATTTATAATTGTTTTCCAGGTTCTACCATGAAAAAGTATTTATGCGTACAATTTTTTAGATGTTATTTCCTATCGTTACGTGTAAAAATATTTTATCATGAAATTTTTAATATATGAATTTTTATTACGCATAAAAAAGCAAATTTATACAAAATATTATGCGTAATACAAAATATTCTAATCGAGCTTAAAAAAATTCATAACTAAATAAGTACAAGTTATAGTTCGGAAAAACCTTAGTCTTTCGTTACCGTACTTTACGTTCGGTACTTGTTATTATGTAGAATTATGTTTTTAAAAAAAATTTCAGTCTGCAAAATGCCGTTACAATGTTAACGAATTTTATTGTACATTATTTTATACTTGATAAAAATTTCGTCAAAGCGCATTTCTTTTTTATCAACGTATTATTAATTATTTGTATTTTCTATATCATCTTTAATGGGATTCACCATTGCAATTTTCTTAGAATAATCAATTATCGTGATTTAATTTATTTGTAAGAATCTAAACGAATGATTATATTTAATAGGATATTTTAATTTTATTTCAATAAGACAATATTTTGGCGTACATTGTTATTACAAGAAATTCGTAGTGGAAATTATAAGAATGGTGTGGGAAACAGATTTCAATAATTATTATCAATTTTAATCCATAAAATATTTATAATGTTTTGCGCCTTGTGTAATTTTATTCCATAAATTACGACCGATGTCGGAGTCAATAATGTACGGTTGTACTTTATTTCGTAAAGTAAAGCTAGATATATTAATTCTCATAAATATTCGATCACATCTGTGATAAAGTATTTAATTTTACATGCGTTAACAAATTTTGTATATTTATTGTCAAAGACGCAATAAATCTTAAATAAACATGATTTTTCAGCAATACCTGCGACTTTATGAATTTATATAAGTATAATTGTATATAAATAAAAATACTAGTAATCTTTTATTGTTCATCATAATTGAATATCAGTTTAGTTTAGGTGAATATAAGATCCTTGCATGAATATTTTTTATGCTGACGTTATAATAGAATTGTCATCGTTCTGACAACAGTTTGAATGAAAATTTCAAGATATTTAATACTCATTGTTAAACAATATCAATCATCTCTTGCCTTTAATCGCAAAGTTCAAAATTAATATCATGGTTAGAGATTGCGTCAAAAATATTGCTTAATGATTACAATATTTTTACACAAATCTCATACAAAATCAATGTATTATTCAACTAAAAATATTGGATAGATACTAGAAAATTTAAAAAAACGTATTGTAATTCTGTGAAATGATTGGACGATATGAAAAGGTTGTGAAAGACAAATAAGTCGATTTGCAATTGAATATATTTTTTGTGAATCATCAATGAGGTGTTGTGGATGCTAGTTTTCTCGGTTCGGTGCCTTTCCTGTTGTGAACCGATGTTGAAATTTTTCATTTCGTCGTTGTTACATATCAACATATTTTGATAAATATATGGTACAATGCAGAATTTGAATTGAAAATATAAATAATCTACATTTTTACCATTGTTCAATATTATTTGCTTTGAATATGAGTCATATTGTGAGATGTCGACACTGCCTGTTTATTCAAAAAAATCTGAAAAAAGAGTTCTGAAATTGGTGGTTTTTTCATATCATTTATGAGAAACAATTGAAAAGTTGTCTCCAGTATGATAGAAATGAATTGAAAAGATAAATTCTAATCTCACTTCACATTCTTGTGTAGTGATTGTTCAAAATTTTATGGAAAAGTTATAGATGAACTATATATTTTCACCGATTAAAAAAATGAAATAATTAGATACAGTTAAATAGTAAATGTTAAAATGTTAACATAATTGAATTGAAAAAATCTATTTTCATGAAAACATCGAAACAGATGAATTCCTACTAAAAAATTCAATGAATGTATGCTGTTGAATATCCAAGTGATAAAATTAAAAATCTTGAAGATATTTAACATATCGTTAAAAAAGTAATTCATATGAAATAATAAAATAATAATGAAAATAATAAAATTTTGCAAAATTTCAATTTATGAACCTATCATTTCGGAAAAATAAGAGGGGGTACAAAGTTAAAACGCAATTAAAAATGTTCAAACACATTTTTCGAATCTTCTACTTGGTAATTTCTCATATGAATCTTAAAAAAAAAGTATTATACAGTCGTCGAAAAAAATATTTGGCGAAAGCTTCGGAATCTGAAAATTTTTTCAATTTTTACCTCGGCTCTAGTGCCCCCTTAAAAACTGAAAGAGATGCCTTGAACTGGAAAAAAATATACTCGATAATTCTGAAGAATACTTTTTTCACTTAGCTAAAGCTATTTAAGGCATGCACTCAAGGTTTTCTTGCAGATTGAAGAATTTTTGAGCCTTCGAAGAAATAAAAAGAAATTTGAAAAATCAATCGAAGTCTCAAAAGACCAAAGCGTTTACTGCTGTAAATACAAACTGTTAATATGTGTCCATCGTTACTTTGCTTTAATTTGAACTTTCAAATACTATCATTTTTGGCTATAAATTCTGGTCATTTTGAAAATGCTGGGGTTGCTAGTATTATATAAATAATGTTATCCGTTGTAAAGATATATTTTCATTGGCTTTCCGTCAAATTTCCATATTAGATTTGAATGCAAGCCTGCAGATGATAAAATCTAGGTTAATAAATAACATGGCATGCAATACTTTTTGATTAGTGTATTAAACAAGTTTTTTTAATATATTTTTTTTATAAAATGCATACATAAATAATCGTATAAATACTTTACTAATGGAAAACAATTTGAGTTAAAGAATGCATATTTAATCTAAAAATGTGAAAGCTAGTACAATAAATATGAGAAATGGCTTTATCATTTCAGTCACGAGCCTTAATGAATATTCAACTTATTTCGAAGTATTAATAATAATCTTACAATTGAGAATTACTTTTATACAAGTCTCGTTTTCAGGCACCGTAAAAATAAAGAAACAATGATGAGTAATACGTGATGATCATGAGTAATGTCTAATTTACAATAATGAGCTTCTCGAACTTATTTATGGGGTGGGTCATGAGCGCGTCATGATAACAATATAAATATCAATAATTTTCATAAATATAGCTTAGTAGTTGCAACAATCACAAAAATTTACAGATATTCCCTCGCTTGTCTGCGTCTAGGCACGGGTGGTGGAGGTTCCGGCGTTCGTACTTTCAATACACTCCCTGATTGACGGGGCGATCTCGAAGTGAAACGGAACTCCAAGGGCAGCTCGTAGCAACGGCATACGCAGCAACTCGGGAATTTGAACCAATCGCTGAAAATGCCTCGACACTCGTTGTTTGGATCGTAGGCCAGGAGACGGTGCAGTCTGTACTGTTGCTCGCATCGGCAACCGTCTCGGCAGTACATTTGTTTATGCTCGTGGCTGAGAGGAAAAAAAAATAGAAAAATCGTCATGACGTTGTCAATTTAAGAAAAAAATTTCGCATAGAGAGGAATTTCTGACGCTTATACTCACGTGCATTTTTCCCAGTGCACGTACTGTTCGAACGGGTAGAAGTTCAATAATGCCAGTACCTCGCCTCGAGTATTGTTTGCCCAAAACGGTGCCACTACCTCTTCCTTCACTGGGCAAGCATTGCTAAAGCATTGAAGGTTTTTAATATCAAAACTTAAATCTTTACCATAAAAAACACTTACATGCCACGAACTTTCAAGACGGGCTGGGGATTTTCTGGTTTATCTTTTGCAGTGTAATCCTGGAATAATTGACCTTCGGTGCCGGTAGAGTTTGTTTCTGAGGGCGAAGGTCGACTGCTTGTAGTTTCCGTTGGTTTGTTATATTCTGGCCTGGGTCGAAACTCTTGTTTCTCGCCGACTTCGGCATCGGTCGACGGTATTTCCGTCAGTTCTTCAACGTCGACGTCCGAACGATCGATTTGCTGCTCAACGATTGCATTATTGTTCAAGTTGTGAATGTTAGCTATCTGAGACAAGCTGACGACCAAGGCTGGCAGTGAAGAGTCAGTGGTTGTGGTTGCTTTTTCGGTGCTCGACGTTTGTGCATTGGTCGACGAGACGGTCAGGTTGATTTTTGCACTTATCGTCGTAGATGTAGTCGAAGTAGTCGATCCGTCCGTAGTACTCGTCGACGTCTCTGGGATCGGTGATGAAGGGGCTTCAGTAGTCACGCTGCTGCTATTGAGTTTTACGTCTTTACCGTCTTCGTTGGGCAAAACAAGTTCATCTTGCAGTTGGCGCGATGCTCGAATGTGATTGCTCGAGTCGAGCCTTGAATCATATCGCCACTTGTTTCGGAAGCTCCTAAGAAAAATTCAACAAAAACGTCGAACAAGTGTCATTTATATTATCATAATTATTGTATAAACTTACACATCGTAATCATCTTCATCGTCATCGTCGTCGTCTGGGTAGTAAAATTTTTTGCCAGAGTGGTCGATTACGACATCAATATTTTGACGAGCCAATTCTTTTTTTAATACCTTCAGGTGTCTTTGATTGCCGTACATACGCTTCATCAAGCCCTCGTTTTCCTTCACAAATCTCTGTACCGCATGCCTGCCAGTGAAATTTCAAATAAAAGATCACTCGGTTTTATTTCCTTAAATAAAAATTATATTCAATACCAAGGATATTCGTTGCCGGCATCGAGACACCAGGAGTCGGTGTGCAAGTCGCAGGGCAATGGGCGAGATCTACCAGCTCTCGAGAATTTTTCACTGCTGCAAGCTGAGGCCCCATCGTAGCCATAGGGATTCGTAACAGCTTCACCCAGTCGAGGTCGTCCCAAATCAATCGCCTGTTGAGAAGAAAAACATCTCGAGTTACTTGCTGGGAAAAGTAAATGTTAAGGAAATCGACGACGAGGAGGACGCGTGCGCGTGCTGTGTATGCGATGTATGCATCGAGGCCAGAGCTTTTTTTGCTCAACTCCAAACTCTCCAACACTTTCACCCGATAGCTTTGAAAATGTGCTAGTTTATTTATACTATCTTCTTGTACGAGGAAACTTCTTAAGAAATTACGGTACCCATGATGACTAATGTCACAAGAATTATCGTGAGAGCCCTCGAAAACTTTTTGAAAAATCACCACGTTTGAATTTGCTTTCTTTTATTTTTTCGCACTGATTATTAATTAAATCTCAAAGATTAAGGGCGAGATGCTCGTTCTCATACGATATCATCGCGAAAGTTATGATATTTTACAATTCTTTTATCCATATATACACATCGACGTTACCGTTATACCGGTTTCTCCTTTCTCGTGATAATCTTTCCTCTCTCTTGCACTCTCTTTTTGCTATTATAATTTTCATGTACAGAAACGCGTGTACCTGTTGAGCGACATGTTTTTTTTTTGCATATTATTACAGAAGTCACTTTCGAGATGTAAAATGAAGTTTTTGAGCTGCACACGTGCAATTAGAGATCGGTATTGAAACCACATACAGTTACGGTGATACGATGTTTTTATTGCAATCGAGGGTCATGAAACTTTTTTTTTAAATAGTTAGTCCTGTTAAATGCTTAAAGGTCGTCTCAGCATCGCGGCTTCTTGAAAATAAAGCTGCAAGATTGTGTTATGACATGTTAAAAATATTGAGAAACATAAATATTGTTTCAAAATAATTGACATTTGTACAGATTTGAATTAATGAACTTTCCAATGTTTCAAAAAATGGCATCAACAACTTTCTCTTTCACAATTGACACTTTACTAAATGATGATATAATTGTTTTTTCTCAATATTTTTGTCAGTACATTACAGTTAGAATAAAATTAAAATATTTAAATATTGCAAAAACCACTTGAAAAATTATGTAGATTTGTAAATGCGGACAATAAAATTACCAGTAGTAAAAGAAAGGCAAGTACTCGGCCCATCATGTGTCATCGGTTTGGATGGCCAGTGAACAAACGGCTGAAATTCGTTCGAAGCAACGAAATTGGCACTGCACGTGCGTTATAACAGGTAAAAACAAAAACAGGTGCGCGAACAGTTTACGAAGGTTTGGCGATTGCAGCGAGCTTTTGTCACACTTAGCCGGCGTTGTTACTGCGTATGCGAAGTGCGCGGCACCAGCTCCGATCAAACATAAAGAAGCGGAGAATCTCCCAAGAAGCTGACTACTGGGTATAGGTCGCTCGCCCGTGCGCTCACTCACTCACTCGGGCTCGTATGAATTTTTCCCTCTTTTTCTTCCTTCCACAGGAACGTGTATTACAGCCGATTCACGCGCCGTTTCAAGCCCCACTATGTCTATATGTGTCTATATGTGTGCGTGTATGTGAGTGTTCGCACAATAGTGTGTATAATATCTTAATGACCAACCAAGAGAACGACGAGGATTTCACCGTCGACAGCTTTCGTTGATACTCGTACGTACACATGTGTGTAAGCGTGTGTACATGTACACACGAGTGCGGATAATGTCGCGAATCTACTATAAGTTACCTGCGATTGCACTGTGAGTAGGTCAGTCGGTTGGATACCGTTAGCCTCGCCTCGCGATCAGCCTCAAAAACCAGGTCAATTCGACTACCGCCAGACTTTTCTCGCTCTCTTCCTCCTTCGTCTCTCTGTGACTTATCATTGACTTATTGCGTCTGTAGTTTTTGTTTTTATTGCCATCGATGCTGATCATTATCAACACTCTGTAAATCTCAAGATTTTGTTTCGAATCATTTTCAAATCTTTTCACTGTTTTTCGATATTCTTGTTTCATTGAGCAAAACTCTCGGTGTTAAGATAATTTGCATTATTAAACAATCGATTTAAAATATTTCTTAATTTAAGCGTGCTATATTTTATTTTAATTGATTTTTAAAAACTTTTTATTTCTTATCACAATGATTTATCATATTAGTTTGAAGTATCGTTACTGCACGTTATACCGATTTCGCGTTAACATAATTCTCGATCTGCAGCATGTCAAGAAGGTGAGAATAACGATATTGCACTGAAAGTTTATAACTTAAGTAATGACAAGTATTTTCTAATTTTTATTCATCACGATGGAGCTATTGTTTTTGCTATTCGAATATTTTTTCTTAATAATTACCTTTTTAAAATCAGAGCTTGAGTTGCAACTAAAGATTATTTTCACTCATACTCACGTTCTTCATCAATACTTCTGTTCATATTTTTTTACTTACAATGAAAAAAAGTTTGCTCATTGACTTTCAACCAATATAGTCATTAAAGCTTTGACTTGAATATTTTTTACCAGTTCTTATCATCATAGAAATATTAATCCTCATTTTACGTTTATTTTATTTTTACATTCTCAGAGCTAGTCTTAGTAGAAAAATTCGAACGCAGTTTTGCTCAACTCTGCTCCTCAAACACAAATTTTAATTTGATTCACCTTTAAAAAATAACGAAAAATATGAAATAATTTTTATACTACTTAGTTTCTGCAAGTTTTGGTAAAAAAATAAGATATTATATGCTCACATGGAATAATTTAATAATAAATTGATATTTAGATGGTATTATCTTTAAGACCGCGGAGTATTAAATCAGATTAAACGTCTACCCTCTCTATAATCCTAGCTAACTTTCACTAATTTTTTAGATCTAAAAGTATTTGCTCTAATTATTACATAATCTTTTAATAGAAATCTAAGAAAACACGGGTGATTCATTATTACAATATCTTTTACTTTCGTTTTTATTTATGTTTCGTAATTGTATTTTTTAAGCAACTATTTTCCTTCGCCTGCGTAGAGAGGGAAATGCTATTATGGGACCACTGAATATGAAATATCGTATGTAGTCTAAACCGCCAAAAAAGAAATCCCTTATGCACTTCTTTTGCGACCTCGGCTTCGTCTCGGCCTGGGGTTATGTACTATTTGATTTTTTATTATGACTGATCAGGTTAACGAATTATTTATTAACAATCTTTTTAATCTGCTCTGTTCCAATTATACATTTCGATATTCGATTCGATATTCGATATTCGATAAGCTCCATGATTCAATAATCGAATCCTCAAATTTATTATTAGATTATTAGATTATTAGATAGGTATAGTCATATACACATTATGAAGCACTTGCCATTCAAGTTACTTTTGAATACATTCAACATAAATGCATTCCCAATTAAATAATTTTCACTGACTCCCTGATTACTCTTAATGCTATTAATAGTAAATCATACTTCCTTGAATCTGATCATATTTACATATACCGCATTAAAACTCTCCTATACGAACTTCACTTATCTAACCAGTCAGTTAAACTTATATGGATTCCCAGTCATATTAACATTCCTGGCAATGAAAAAGCCGACTCCCTCGCTAAACAGGCAATTCGCTCAGGTGTCGCCCCACCTTATCTTTTACTACCTTCAGATTTCACGGCATCCTTAAAATTAAAATCGCACGACCTCTTCGTCTCATTTTTACGAGACACAGATCAAAACAAAGGCATTCATTACTTTGAAAATTTTCACGCAGACTACATTAAGCAGTGGTTTAGCGCATACGCACCCACTCTATCTAGACTACAAATAACTCTATTTAATCGAATTCGCAGCAACCATTACAATTTGGTCCATAGCTTGTTCAGAAAAAACCTTTCTTCTTCTCCTTGGTGCGAGTGCAATGAAGACATCAAAGACCTCAACCACGTGTTCTGGGCCTGCCCAAAACACAACATACATCGAACAATACTCTTAAAAAAATTAATTAAACTAAACAAATTTCCACCCTTTACAATATCCGAATTCCTCTATAATCCCGAACCTCTCACCATCGAAATCATCTGCAAATTCTTGATCAAATGCAACAAAAAACTTTAATCCCTCCTTGCTACACTTTCAATTCACCTATCTTTATTCATATTCTCGCGCCTCTTTTATAAAGCCTGTTAATGGCCGTATGACATAGAGCTTGCTCACAGTCGGCGCCACCAAAGAAAGAAGAAGAAGAATATACACATTATGAGAATGTTGCGCTGAAGTTGGCGCATCACTTCACAACACAAGTCGCAAGCAAACTCACCGAATGTCAATTACTTAGTGCGTGTTCGATAGTCAATCGTTTCGGACTGCTGGCTCTTAAAGCAGCGTGTCGACAGGTAGTGCACATTTGTATAGAAGCGCCACACGTTAGCATATATGCCGAGGCCTTTTGGCTTTATCGTAACAATTTTTCCAACGAGTTTCCTGTCGTTTCCAAGAATTTTCAAAGAACAATCTGCAGTTGTAGCCTTACTTTAGGGTATGTATGACTTGATTATATATTTTTAGTAGACTGTTATGTAAATTTCTATTTATAACAAAAGATTATTAAGGTGCGCGTCGTACAGTGTGTTGATGTGTTGTGCTATTATATACACTGTACACTCGCGTACTGCCTATATATTCACCCGAGTTTCAGTCGCAGGGAAACCTCGTTCTTGTTATGTCTGTCTATATTGGTCAATATTCGCATCACTGAAATCGTAAATATAGATCGTATCATTTCACGACTTTTGCAGATTCTACCATGTCCAGATCTCAAAGCAACATTGTTGTTAGTTATCATGACTGCATTTTACGAAAAGAAGATATCCACCTGCTTGAAGGACCTCACTGGCTCAATGATGCAGTTATAGGCTTTTACTTTGAGTACCTTGGCCAAAAATACAGATATTCAAGATTACTCTTTGTCAGTCCAGAATTAACACAGCTACTCAAATTAACTGATTCGAGTGAATATTCAGTTTTTCTTCAGCCCTTGGAAGCCACGTACAAAGATTACTTATTCTTTCCTCTGAATGATTGTAGCAGTAGATTGTCTTCAGGAGGTTCTCATTGGAGTCTTTTGGTATTTTCAAGATCTGACAAAACTTGCTTTCATTTTGATTCATCCAAAGGTATGAATGGAATGGTTGCAAGGGCATTTTCAAGAGATATTTCAAATTACTTGCTGGACAGAACTGGACAGTATGTAGAAATAGATTGCCCTCACCAAGAGAATGGTTATGATTGTGGCTTGTTTGTGCTTTGTTTTGCCGAGGTCATTGCTGAATGCATCCAAAAAAGGTACAAAATTGAAGAATGTAAATACGATAGTGTGAGAAGGCTAGTTTCAGAGAAAAGAAGATCTCTATTGAATCTCATAAATACCCTGAAAATTACGCATTAGTTAGAAAAATACATAATTGTCCGTGCTTTATACTTATAACTACTAAATATTAGACTCTTTATTAAATCTTATTTTTGTAAGATTAACTATAAATTAATTTATATAGCTGTGATAAATACTGTTGAAATATTAGCTGGACAGAAAGTAGACATCACTTTAATATACTACGCGCATAAATTAAATACAAAATGTACCTTAAAATCATATTACACACTTATTATAATACTTAAAACGTAAATTGAAATGTGTACTATCATTGCAGCTGATAAGTTTTACAAATTTTATTTATGTCATATTCTAGAATTTAAAGCTTTCAGCAGCGCTAATATGGATGTAAAAAATATATATAAATATATATAAACATATATATGTTTGTATAAATATGTATTGCTCCGAATTATATTTTTATAAAAAAGACTATTTTTGACTCTATAGAAAAATAAAATATACTTTTTAATGTGTGCTTGATGACACATTAACAATACTAAATATTTGACTTTTCATTGACTCCAAAAACATTGAACTAAATTTCAAACGACATTTTCGCGCAACATTTAATGTAATGTTACCATATATATACTCCGTACACAAAAGAGCTTTGTAACGTGAGCCACTTATTTTGTTATATATAGATTCGTTTCGACATTGAACAGATTTCGATACATCTATATTTATATGTGCGACGCAAATTCTAAACGTTTAATTCACCAGATAATCATTTCCATACTTCGCGGGAGAGAAGGCGAGAAGATTGCGAGCTTTCAAAAAGCTCGTGACGATCGTCCATATTAAAATTTGATATTTATATACACAGTGTGTTGACGCCACTGCTATTTAATAACTCTATAAATACAGATATATTATATGATTTTATCCGATTACTACGATTCGAAGATTTATTTTATTTTTAAGTGATACATTCTTTAGTTACAATATGATGTCAAACTCAAGTGCAACGAAAAAACGTAAACTTTAATTTTTATTAAGGTTTTTAAGTCTAAATGAATTATATCAAGTAGAATTACTGAATAATACCATAAAATTAAACGTTGAATCAACTATTCGAGATAAAAATAGATTCATTTCTGCATTTAATTTCACGCGTCGTTTACATGAACCCAACGATAGGTATCTTAAATAATGTGCATGTATATTTGAATCAAATTATATTTTTGTCTACATGTATAAATGAATCCAAAATCTTGACACAAAACATGTATATAAGTGCAATTATTCACTCCAATATTTATTCTTTGAAAAGCTGTCTAGTCTCGATCGGTAACAAAGTTCTCTGATACAACCATCATAATATTATTCGCAAACGAGACGTGCATTTTTAGTTGTCGTGTGACGGGCGTGCGAGTAAACCTACGATTGTTTGTCAAATTGAACTCGATCTGAAGCGATCCATTGCAATTTTACTTTTTTAAAGGCAAAAATCCAGTAGATCCCAAAGAAAATGGGCCGAACAGTGTACGCCGAGGAACGACTTCTCAATTATTTGGAGACACTCGGAAAACCAGATGCTTATAGCGTCGGATTAATATTTGGCCAGGTGAATATTAATTATTGCTAATAATCTATTCCATCCAGATGTTGTGTGAATTATAAAAAAGCATCTTGCTATACATATATCTGTATCGCTTATCATAGGTTATTTCTTATTTAAATTTGCATTAAATGTTTTTTTTTTAAATAAGTTTATTATTTGCTAATATTTTATAATCGGTTTTTTAGAGCTCAGATCAGAAAGATTATGTTGTTCATTTGGCTAGAATACCATTTGTCCCTGCAGCAGATGCGGTCGAAGATAGTTTTCATTCCCATCCAACAAATCCAGAAGATAATTACATAAAATCCATCAAGGATTTGGATGTATTTTATGTAGCAGATCATGCAAAAACTGTATGTTACATTCTTTAAATACATGATAATCTTTTATCAACAAAAACTAAACTTCAACAAATGATTTTAGGTAACCAGAATGTTACCAGGTGGTATATGGGTTTTAGGAATGTTTGTCGTAGGTCCTGAAGACTGTTTAACTGATAACAGTTTGTCTCAAAAACTCAAATCAGCTGTCATGGCCATTCACAAAAGTTTGGATTCAAATGTCCATTTGAGTGGCAACAGTCCCCACGAAAAATTAATTTTGAGCTTTAACACTCTTACAAAGAAGTATGATATAAGTTAAGTTATTTAATAAATAATTGGTATAATTTATCTGTCATGAAAAATTTTTTCTAGATATACATCAAAATCAATTGATACAGCTACAGATGGTTTCTTAAAACCCGCTGATTGGAGGTTTGCAAAAAAACCAACCAAATGGTATCATTTTGAAACCATAGTAGATTTAAACACACTGTGTCCAATTCTTGAAGAAGAAAATTTACTTTCATTGAAAAAGCAATTGCAGGTAGTTATTATCATTACTTCTTTGATTTATTGTTTATTAATCTAATTTATATTTCAAAATATTTTTGCATTAAGATTGTAATTAGAAAATATGCAGAAATGATTAATAAAGCTGTCATAGTGATTGAGGGGGAGGCAGTGACAAATTCATCGGATCCATTAGAATCAATCATGGAGGATGAAAAAACCAAAAAAAATAAACAAGAAGAAGATGAAAACGATAAACTTTTACAAGTTGGAGTTTACATACCTTATGTTAGTTTTTTTATATTTTTATTAAACTGCTCTTTGAATTAATTTTCATTTATATTGCATATTTATACACTTTTTACAGTGGCCTGTTGAAAAACAAGAGGATATAAAATCTACAATTTGTGAGGCATCGATTAAAGTAATGGGTCAATTGGTAAGTAGAGTTTCTCTTCACGAAAAGTCTACTTGTGAAGAAGCAGCTAATGCTGTGAAACAGGATATTTTAAGATCAATAGCAAGTAGACTAGAACTACATTGGGACACTATAATAGTTGAAGAAAATGGATTTCAAGAAGGTAAAATTGGAGTTTACATTTGAAAATGTTAAAATAATAATACTTGATAAAACATGTATTTTCAGAAAATGTTACATTGCATGAACCACCAAGAAGAATTTTTTTACAGTTGCCACAAAATAGAATAAGTTTATCAGATTACTTGTATCCAGGTGAAGTTGATGAGTCAATGATAATTGACCTGTTTAAAACACTTTTGGATCTTGAAATTTCAGAAAATCAATTGCAAAAAGATTTAGAAAAGCAAATTGGTAAGATACATTTGTTATTTGCATAATGAAAGTCCTAAGACAACATGTAATAAATTATGAAATATTACTCAACAGATCCAACAGATTTGTACAAGCAAAACAAAGTGAGTAGTGAAAATTGGAATGCTGCAGAAACTGAAACAAAAGTTGAAAGTGATAAAAGTTGGAACATTATTATTTATGTTTCTGCTTTGCTGACTGTGATATGTGCTATTATTCTCGGAATTTTATTATATTTTTTTCAAAAAAAGAACTAACCACTTTTTTAATTACACATGGACATATCATGTATGAAATAATTTTACATAATTGTTTACAATACTTCACTTTTTGTATCTGCAATCTCAAAAATATAATAATAGTTTCTGGAAAAAATTACCTTAATGATATTTTTGATGTATAATTTTAAGGAAAAAATTTGCAGCACATGAAGTGAATGGTAAGAAAAATTGTACAAATTGTCAGAGAGAAGTGTTGAAACTGTTGAACAAATCTTATGTTACATATTTTTATACTCCCGAATTATTTATACATTATTAAATATTCTGAACATCTGCTATACTTGACACATGTAATGTGGCTTATGATTGAGTGTAAATACTATGGTGTGTGACATTTGTTGTAAGCATTTTTTAATAAAAATTGTATGATTATCGATACACAGAAATATGTTTTATTTTTCAATACAATTTTTTTAAGTTATTATTATATATAAAGTATGTACATATAAATTTATTTACAAGAATTTCCAAGTACATATTTACAAAATGATCTATTTTTTTTGCGAAAATTCAACAACCCGCCTTACATTATAATTATTTGTGTTACAAAAATTGTTTACGATTTCTTTATAGAATCGTAGTTCAATATTTATCGCATTATTACGAAATAACATAAAATCTTTCTTATTTTAAGAATCATTTATAAGGGCAGTGAGTACTTATAAATTCAATTCAGTTTCAAAATTTAACAGTATTTTAAATAAATCTTTCGAATTAATATTCATTTTATTTTCATATACTATCTTGAACATACATTCAACACTGTAAAAAAATTACTTAATAGTAAGTTAAAAACATACAGAGTATTAAAAATGCCTTTATCTTAACAAAGACTAAAGTTTGTGGGTTGAGATCCAATTCAAATGCATTGCTTAGATCAATCATACAAATAATACATAATTAACACCAACATTTTTTTAACGCCAATGATAGCTAAATTAGTAAGTCAAATAACTCTCGTTTCTTTGATTTTAACAAAGGTGCAAATTTTTAAGATTTTAATAATATCCGTGTAAACGTAATACAATAATTTATTCTATTAAGACTAAAATATTGAAAATTAAACAATCCAATTAAATAGTTTATGCAGTTCAGAATCCCATTCGTTTTTAAAGCACCGTCAAAAATTTCATACAACACGTAGAAAAATGTTTCCTACACTTACATCTAACACTTTAAAAAAGTGTAAATCATGAGTCATTTAAATTCAATTCAATTGCAATTACGTTTAGAATATTAATATTAAAAATTCTTCAAAATTATCACGCATTAATGATAGATTATAACAATCATTAAAGAATAGGAGTGGTACAAGCAATTTCTTTCTTAATTTCAAAAACTTGTTCCCAGATTTAAGTATGTTTCCTCAGCACCAAATTAAAAAAAAAAACATTCAAAATGCTTATCTTAATTATGTAAAAAATTTGAATCATCAACTGTACATTCAATTGGGATACTACATTTTCCAAGATCCATACAAATCATTAAAATTAATTTGCTTTGATCATTCAGCAACTTACAAGCTAAAATTGCCAAAAGCGAAAGTAAAGTTTAAAAAAATTACGAGAAGTAACAAAAATTTTATTTATTTGGAATCACGATTCATATTGGAAATAATATACGTCTTCAATGTGTATAACAAATATTTTTAACGACATAAGAGCACACATACCAGTAGCTTAACTTACAGGAATGATTCGCAACATATTTAATTGTTTATGATCACTCAAACGTTCTATTAGTAAATTGTCCTAAACTCGACGCTTGCTTTCGATCGTATCAAACAACATTCGGCAAAGCTAGTTTTTTAGATTATTATTCTTAAAAATAAATGTAAACTTTTTTGTGCATAACGTGCGTTACGCGTGCGTGTGTTTATCAACAATATCATTATAAATACGCCAGGAAACGAGGTCATAATTTTCATGCAACCATGATTGTGAATAGTATTCCTCACTCTTAACAAAATGTTGCATATGTAATTGCACAAGATCATAATCACACTAATGCAATTACGCTATCAAGGAACTCCCATTTTAATAAGTCCAGTTTGACTTCCGTGTCCGATGCTGGCCTCCTCGAGCGAATCAAGATCCAGAGCTGATTCGATCATTGTCGTGTCTTGCAGCAATCTCAATCTCGATGCCGAAAGAGGCGTCGTAACAGACGCAGGCTCCAATAGCGATGACGAGCGCATATTGTTGCAGTTATTCATACTATTATTGTTATTCATTACTATGCTGGGAGGTGGTAATGGTGCTATTTCATCGATGTCGATCGGTGCCAATGGTAAAGAGGCCAATGGCAATTCATTCATTACAAGATGAGTTACACTGTTCGACGTGATATCTGTAAGAATATGAAAAACGTAAATTAGTACGTGCATTGAGCGACCATTAGACTTGAAGTGGTGCTACAATTGCTCCAAAAAATGTTTTCATATCTTAAAGATCAAAAACATTTTCAACGTTGAAAGATTTAAAATTGAAATTTTTCCATTCAAAATCATAATGATCCACTTTATCAATTTATGGTTTTCAAAAATCACATACTGTACAAACATGCTTCATGGTATTTTGGCGTTTTTCAGAATTGTGTCCTTTGATCTGTTTTTCACAATTCTTAATAATTAATTGAATGAAATAGGATAAAAAAATTTCAACTGAATCACTTCTGGATTAAATATAGTTTTTGAATGACGCATAATTATTCATGTGTAATGTAATTTAATTAATAAAAAAAATTCGTTATTGCATGCATCTGATCGGCATCTATAATTTGAACATTTTAAAATTTTGTCCTGATTTTTTTCAATTGTGTTTTGAAATTTTGACTATTTGAATTTTAAGTGTTTTTACAGAACAATTTTAGTTAACAATTGAATATGCATATATGTACAAATGTACAATTGTTTATTATTAATATAAAAAATGCAAGAAAAAAAAATAAAAACAATGTGCATGTGAGTAATTTTTAGATTGTACAGATGATCAAGTGCTGTCTTATTGTATGTATAAAAATATGTATAACGTATGTAACAATGCATATAATGCTGCAATTTGAATTAGTCACGAATTCGAAAACTACGCAACGGATTGTTATTTTTTTGCGTTTCGAAACACACACCAATAAGTAGGCGATATGCTGATCGACTATAAACAGAGAACAAGGAAAACAACGGGATTTTTTGTGCTCTTTACGTTGATTTTGTTAATTTATTATCAATCCAGCGTTATTGTATCCCGCAAGTAAAACAAAGAAACTAAAAATACAGTGTAGGAATGGGGGATACTTGTCATTATTTTGAGAGAAAAACTTACCAAACTGTCTTATTGCACAGAGTCCTCATTTATCGGACGTATTTATACGAGCAACAGAGAAATAAAAAGTCAGTTGAGTCATTCACAAAAAAGTTTGAAGAGAAAAAAATTATCATTTCATCCATTATTACAGTTATTATTATGGATTAAGATAGAAGTACTTCTCAAGATTTACGTTATAATTTTTACGAAAAATTCTTTAAGTTTTACCATATGAAATTTATCAAGTGATTAAACTCGATAGTAGATTCAAGTTTTTAATAGAGATGCGTGAGAAGCAAGAAGCATGAAAAGTAGAGTACAAGAAATACGAATTTTTATGATTGAATGCATGGAATTGTCCATGTTCATAGCTTATAGAATATGTTTTAATCTTTTTTTAATCATCTAACTATTACTATTACTATTTCTAAAAGAAGATTAGGAATCAGAATCTTCGCAAGCACTTTTGAAAGATCGTCGTCTACAACGTTCTACGATGCCAACAATATCTTTTGGAGTACATACTTATGCAACTTTTCATCATGCGATTAGAAAAAATGGACTGATCTTACGTCTTTGCATATGTACACAATATTACGTAATTGTAACGGTTATGAATTAATAATATCAATTTGTATCATCTAATAAGTCACTTTGATACAAATAAACTCTATAAAATTTTTAAGTGATTAATAACAATATTCATACATTTCTAAAGCGATAAACGCGTATAACAATGCAATATAAACAATATCAGTGACAGTTTTGAAGGATCGATCAATTTAATCCAAGTATGAAACGGTACGTCGCGCAAGCTTGAACTTGGGAAATCACGATAACGAAATCATCCAGTGTATAAATCATGAGAAAGCGATTTCTTCTGTCTTCGTTCAACGTTTCGTTGGTCAACTTGTTATTTTTTTTGTAAGTTCTTGGTTTGCGTGCAAGTTAGAAAGTTATACCGCATTTTATGAAATAAATTTGTACTCTGAGGTAAATTTGGTAGCTCAAAGTATGAAATGTTGACTAGTTTTTTCAAATAATTAGCGAAGTAATTTAATTACAATGAGGTCGATCCTTTTAAACGAGCCACGTAAACCTTTTCTACATATCGTCGCTGTCGCTCATGGAATTGTTTATCATGTAACGCGCGTCTAAATAATCATCCTTATCGACTAAGCCGCCACCACCGTTTCCGACACTACCTTCGCAAGGGCAGAACGTCTGCTCTGTGTAAGGATGCATGTAATGCTGTCTCGTATGAGCATGATGATGATGATGCGGATGAGCATCCATTAACAAAGGTCCTGAACCAAATCTATTGACAACTAGACCAAGGGCAGTCTGTCCTAACATGGGCAATCCGCCGGGACTAAGTATTCTATTACTAAGAAAACTGCTACTACCGCGATGCTCAAGGCAAGCTCTGCTTTCGGCAGCGATAGGTGGATACGCCGTGTACTTTCGATGCACCTCCGCATCATCAAAAGCTTTGCGCCGAAAATATTTGTGCACATCGGTCCAGTAGTGCTGCTGCTGCTGCTGCTGCTGCTGTTGTCTTTGCTGCTCTTGATGATGATGATGGTGATGGTGGTCACTAGTCAACAAATCGCCTTCGGAACAGCGCTGATTGTATTCCTCTCGGCATCTCTGAGGGTACCTTTGCAGTTCTTCCTCGCATCGGTACGAGGGTTTGGCAGGTGTTTGGTTGTAATGGTGGTAGCGTTGATGCTGTTCCGGATAAATAGGGTAATGCGCGGCAAGTGGGGCATAATGACACGCGTACGAATCGTCCAGGTAGCGACGTTGCGGAGGTGGCGGTGGTGGTACCCGTAAATTGTTGATCGGCGCTGATGCCGATGCTGACTCACCGTTTAGGGAATCGAGATGCGATGGCTGCGACGACTGCTGCGACGAATCGTTGTGCTGTGGCTGCTGCTGCTGTTGATGTGTTCCCCAGGCACTGGGATCATGGACCGTAGTGGATTGTTCACCAGCCTCGATATCCACCGGTGGAACTGAGTTTCCATTAGACTGCAAATAAATACAAATAATTCATAAAAATAATCTTCAAGTATATCGTTCTTTTAAATCGTGTTTTTCAAGTTGCATTGCGCATCGATTATTATGCACGACCGTTTCGTTTCTATTTTGGAAATGTTGACGTAAAATGCATTGTAATTGTGATTCGTTAATGTAGCATGCAGTTTTACTACATTTAATCTGCTCGGCATTAGCAAATATCTATGAGCTTGAATATTTTATTTCGATGAAGGTTACCAATTTAAATGATATTATTCTACATTTAAATTAAGACTATAAGAAGCATGAATATTAACGATTCTCACTTATAATGACACGAAACCACCAAAAGAAATATAAAACATCGATCTAAAGCACTTTGTAACGTGTGTCTATACTTCGCGAACTTGATTATACAATCAAGCTCGTGGTCTACGTCTATAAGGAATTTTTATCGAGTTTACCTAATCAGCATACAATTGTGTATACTTCATTGTTTGAGTGTACGTTGTGTGTTTACAATCAAAAATTTAGTTTTTGTACGACCATTTGCACCAAAATGTAAATGTGTAAGTATGTAATAAAAAAGTACATTGTGTGTATTAGGGATAATGCATAATGTTTCATAAGTAACAAAAAATAATTTTCACCTGTGGTTGAACAACTTTGACTGTCCCATAAACTTTATTATTAGTTATTACACAATCTTCGGATACCCTTTTTTGTTCGGCTCGATACTCGGGTGTCACGACACCTCTTCGATCTTATGAAAAATATAAAAATTATGTAATTCAAGATTTGCAATTTCAGTTTAATAATACGTAGGCAAATACCTATTAAACTAGGAGGTGCTGGACCACAAAGTACATAAAAACAATTTCCGCAAATGTTTCCTTGACTGTAAGGATTAAAACTTTCTTGTCCTCTCTTACTGGTAAAAGAACCTTTAATCTATAAGATAAAGAATACGATTTTAGTCGATTTTTTCATCGAAAAATATTATCTAAAAAAAAATCAAACTCACATCTTCATTAGTAGTTTGATTACTTGTAGTGAGATATGTGTGAAATCCTGCCAGCCCCAAAATACTCCAGACAGAAAAAAAACATATCACACTGACAACTACACTACCTGGAGATTCTCGCACAGCTTCTACAAAAGGCTTGTTATCTTTTGTTACTGTAAAAAAAGTAAAGCAGTGAGCAAATACAGCTTTCTTTGAAAACGAAAGAATTAAAGATACTTACACATTATTAAATGTGTCACGGCACAAGCCAATATAAATACACATAAAAATGCTAAAGACACTATGAATGCATAAAAATATCGATAATTACGACGTCCTACACAATTTCCAACCCATGGACAATGATGGTCAAATCTCTCTGCATTTAAAAAATTTTCACAATTATATTTACATTATAAAAATCTCTTGCTCTTCAAAAATATTCATATAAATTTTCTGCCAACTTACCAACACAATTGTCACATAAACTACAGTGCGACGCTCTTGGAGGTCTAAATATTTTACATGTAAAACAATACTTTAATTTTACAGGTTGACCTCTCACTAAAACTTCTTTTGTTCTTGGAGGAGGTCGATAGGTAGGAGAATTACCATTATTTGGCACTTCTAAAATAATATAAATTCATTCAAATATTAAAGTGAATAGTCTTTTGTACAATCATTAAATTGTGCACATACCTATTTGTTTTTCTATGTAGGCTGCCTCATCAGGCGTTGCACGAGGAATAACTCCAGGATCGCTAAAACTTGTCCGGAATAAAGCTGACATGACAAATATGAATAACAAGCATCCTATTACTGGTATAGCAGGTGTTATGTGTTCTGCCAAAAATGGACAGCTGCAAATAATTGTAATCCATCAATACTTTATAGATCAGCAAAAGTTTAAATTAAAATAATAGAATGAAGAGATACTGAAGTCTGGGTTAAAATGAAAATGTTTAAAAACATTTTTGTAAGTTTATGCTGAATATCAAAGAACATATAAAGATAACACAATAAAATTTTCCATGAGGCTCTTTGAAATAATATTATATATAAATAGTGGAGGATATGTGTAAGAAGGGTTATTCCTAATCAGACTTCAGTATCCTCTTTAGTAAAGAAGTACATTTAAAGCTGGTATTTTCACAATAGTCACAATTATAAACCTTTGAAATATTCAAAATTATATTGAAAACATTACATGGTACTTGCACAGGTCAAATGTTACATTATTTTTTGTATTACTCACTCAAAAGCAAAAAATAATCCACTTGTACCAGCAATTAAACAAATCGTAACGTAGAATACACCAGTCTGAGGTGCCATCATGACTCTTCCATCACAGCAAAAACGGTTTCTGCCAGGAAAAAGCTCCCATTTTCTTGTGATTCGAGGCATTTTGAATTAAGTATGCTTTTTAAATATCTGGAAAACAACAAATAATTTTTTGATTTTCAAATAATCCATGTTACTATACTCATATCTCTACAAAATATATTTTCATTACTTAAATAATATTTAAAGAAAAATTTTTAATTTTCATAATTTTTAACTGAATTTTTTGTGATCAGATATGTAAATAAAATACATTTTTTTTCAAAATTTCATTCTAACTAAGGAAAAATCGACTCTATTATTAAAAAAAGATTACAAAAGCACATAGTAAAATGTAGTGATCAATGAAATTGCAAAAATTAAATGACCAAATGGACCATATCATTCTTGCCGCATTGAGATGTTTTTAACTCAAGAAAAATGTTAAAGATATGATATTTTTTTCAACTATTTCAAAAACTTACTTTAAAGTCGTCGAATTCTTTCTTAAACCATTTTATAAAAATTTAGTGCAAAAAGCTTCCTTATTTAAAAATGTCACGATACTTTGGATTTATCGATGATAATGAAATTGTTGAAGTTGTCTTATTTTTCGAGGCTAATTAAGATAAGGCTAATCAGAACACGGCAGAGTTGGGTTTGCGTGAATTTTTCGTTCGATAAGCGCACGTCAGTAACCGTGTGCTCAAAACGACGTGACTAAGGAAACTGTTATTCTCGACAAAAACGCTTCCCATGAGCTGTGAATTAAAAATCCATCAAGTCCAATGTCAATTGAATTATAGTCAACAGTTCAAGAAAGACCAGCAAAGAGCGGATGTGTATTTGGTGACCTTGTTTTTATTTATTCGAGCGTCACCGAATGTTTTGCGGAAAATATTATAATCCATTAAGTGCGGAAAGCTAGTATTTTTTGGGCGATCATGGCAAGAAAGAGCTGCGGCAACGAGCAGCGATCAACAAGTGATATATACTCTCCGCGTACATATTTCGTCGTGACTTTGCGTTCGAGCCTTTAACCAAGTGGCAATTGTTCTCTCTTTATTCTTTTTTACAGGCCAACATGCAGATATAATTGAAGTGGCCCAACACGATACGTGTATGTATAATATAGCCGTCATCGTCAAAAGTGGGCAAGTTTAAAAAGAAAGTTTCAAGAGTGTCTGTCTGCTTGTGTGCATGTATATATGCATGCGGTGTATCGAAGTTGCAATTAAAGCCCAATATATGCAGCGCGAGGAAATGCTCCGAAAAATAAAATAAAAATAAATAAATAAGTAAAATAAAGAAATAAATAAAAAAAAAAATAAACAAACAGTGCAAGTTTCGGCGACGTCTATTTCGATACTTGTTTATTGACGAAGTTTTATTATTCCAGACGATCCTTGCCAAAGATAAACAAATACGCAGCGCGGGTGCATCGCGGCCGTCTCGCGCCGTAAAATGAATCAAGCATTATAATGACGTCAAGACGTGTACACACGATACTATTATATATTATGCAGGGATGGCGTGAAGAGGCGAGTGCATTTATTTACAAGAGCGACGGCATTATATATATATACATTGTTTGCAATGTTATGATTTGCACCCTCCATTGAACTCCATCCGAGTGGGGCTATTTTGAAAGGTTTTTATACCTATACTCACATGATCGTAAGATGACGACTGTGCGGCGTAGCTCCAAGTGGTGTATTATGTTACGCAGATAATTGTCGCAGATATTTCCTTGCATGTATGTGTACACTATACATTATAAGTGTGCAAGTACTCGTATAATGTACCATTAACAGTAGTCGGAGGTGATGATGCGTGTGATGGTCAACTTAACCTCGCCATAATGTCGATTATCCTGCCAAGAGCGTTCTAGCGATGACATTCGATTCGCAATACCAACAGCGACACAAACACATGTGCACACGCGTAAAGACAGCCGCGTCAAGTTTTACACGATAAGAACGAAACTCGCGGACGAATGAATTCATGCGAGCTGGTTTCAATAGGCGCAGGGGCACTTGCTGGAAGGCGAATTAAGCTGGCGCGAGAGCATCGTCAAAGGTGCGCGCACCGACGAGTGAACTCGAGTCAAATATGTGTCATCGCCGGGAGTAGCGATCGACGTGCTCGATCATCCGCGCCCTTCCTTTCATCTCTCCAAAGGCGGACCTCTCCAGCAGACATACCTATTATCCGAGCCTATATTAGCAGCAGCATTCAGGCAGCGTATAATACGATGAGCTATAGACAACAATTCGCACTGCAGAACACTGCAATTCCTAGCAGGCAGGCATTAATAAATTTCTATTCTGCGGATAGAAAATCATACGTATAGATAGATAGATAGGCGCGTGCACTGGCACTCCGTGCTGAGCGACACACTTGTTTAGCACCGCGTAACGCGCGATCTTGTGCTTTTTTCTTCGCCACTGTGAGCTAGCGCAGTAACGCGAACGACAACAACAACATAACTAATGGAGCTCGGGCAGCTGCATGTATTCTAGGTTTTTACACTGCAGCAGCAGGCACAATTGCACGTCAGGAGGTGACTGACCATCGTGGCCATCACCGCACTACAGCATGATTGGACACGATATCACTGGTTTTTTAGCTGCAGCGTCCACGAAATCTGTTGGTATACTGATGCCTGGCACTGCTGCTGCTACATACGATGCACTGACTCGCTCGTGGCACCTGCCTGCAGCACGGATCGCGAGTCGCGCGATGCTTTCGCTCGTAGCGATGCTTCTTCTGCGCTCTTGAGAAAATGTAAAAAAACCACTGCTCTCGAGTCTGCGGATATGTAAGCTATACTAGTTCCAGGTGGAGGTGGTAAATACAAGTAGTGGTGGTAGTTTCGCTCGTATCATATAGGTATTATGACGATTGGCGACGATGGATCGAGCAGCCGACATATATATAGGTACCTATTCCCCAACTCTACACACGCACGCACACGAGCCAAGTGCAGCCGTCGGCGCAGCAGTGCAGCGCGAAGCTGTGTGGGTGGCACAATACATATGATAAGGGAGAGGCGCCAGCTGATGCTGAATTTCTGCCACGGCTGGCGATAGCTTTGAGGTTAACCGCAGCGCAGGGGCCATCCAGGAGTTGCTGATTTGCAGCCTCTCTGCCTGCAGCTAAAATTTTCAGGTGAACTCGCGGTTGCTAAACACGTGACTTCTGGCGCGATCGTTCGAAATACTTCCCCGGAATATTCGAGTGGATTCGCGAATTTAAATATAACCCGTGATCGATTTTTTCACGCTTTGTTTCCTGATCGATTTATTGAAAAAACTACATGAATAAACACGCTGATAGTTTCTGAATAACAGAGTAACTTTTTGTCAGCTTTCGTATACTGATGGAAGGACACGCAAAGTCAAGAATATAATGTATCAAACGCGCGTCATAAGTACTTTGCCTTTTCTCGTCATAATAGCTATTTCTAAAATAATTGCATTCGTTTCAGTTTTAATAAATAAAAAAACTCGTTCTATTGAAGCATAAATTATAAGTAATTTACTAAATCAAGGAGAATGATGGAACTTCGTAGACTTCATAGGAAGGAATTTGTTGAGTGATAAATTGTTTTTGTTGAAATCAAAATATCTTGCTATCGACGTTGCGTTGACGTTTTTGTTGAATTGGTGACATAATCAAATTGAAATACCACTAATTTAGTACTATTCATATGACACTAAACTCGTTTGCAATTTTACCTGCATTGCACGTAATATGTCGACACTAATGCCAGTATTACAATTTTATATTTAATACGCGTTCCGAATATGTGTCAAATTGAATATTTTATCGGCAGTAAACGCAGTACCTCTTTTCGCATCAAACTGTCATCGAGATAATATATTATTGATGCAAATTTAAATTATTGATACTTTCAAGGAAATATCTATTGCAAGATTATTCTAAAACTGAATCGTACCCTGCATTTCGTTGGAATTATCGCGAAAATGTATTTAGATTCTTTTGCATACTTTTAAAAGAATATAAACGAGGATATCATATCTAAAAATCTATTTTTCAGAACAGCTATTCGAATAGATTAAATTTTAAAAAGCTCATGTAAAATAGCTGGGCCCTTCGTTACGATGTCTCAATATGTTCATATTAAATTTGGTGCTGTTTTTGGTATTAGTTATGCTGTAAGAATTTTGATGAATCAGCATAAAAATAGAGTGGTGAATGTTGCAATACATTGATAAACGGAAGCTTGATCGGTTCTGTAACGATTGTAGCTTTGTGAATAATATTTTTGAATTAGATGGGGGCTTTAAATTACGATTGCCATTGCGTTTGTTGGAACGAGGTACTGATTCAGCGGATTTTCTATAAACTTCTATCTAAGTAGGCATCGTTAGACGACACTTGAAATATGCAAATATATCGGACAGATGCAGTACAACACTTTTAGTAGTCTCGATTGGAAAAGCTAGTGTAAATTCATTATTCAAGTCTCAGAGAAAGACGGAAAGTGGTGCAGAGCAGCCAAGTCTGTCGGGCAATCTTTTCTCTTTCTCTCAGACTGCGTCATTGGCAATATCGTATTATATATGTGGCTGTATATAAAAATAGAGCTAGTAAAGAGTCGAGTGCATGTCATGGGAAAGGATCCTGGAGAAAAGGGGGGTGCACAGGGCAGACGCGCGCGTACACCAGGAGAGAGTTCTGAGCCGAGATGGAAAAAGTATAATCAATGCGTCGAAACAGGCTCTGTCACTTGTATCTAAGTATTATAAACGAGTTCGCAAGCTGCCGTACAATACATACGCACACGCACACACACACACACACACACACACACTTGTATGCATTATAAAAATCGTATACGCGCGTCGAGCTTGTGTTTTGAGCTCGAGAGTTCGCGATCGATACGATAAATGGATGCGTGCGATTGGGTGTATTTATGCACGCGGCCCAAGTACGTGTGTGTGTGTGTGCAGTCGATGCTGCTGCTGTGCCGACTGTGTTACGCTCTTGTGTTGTGAGAGCGTCGTTGATGTATACGTCGTACCCCCGCGCGCGCGCGCTCCATAAAATCGATCGCGACTCTTATATTGCACGAGGGCTACATCGTGTACGAGTATTAAAAGACAGACGGAGAAATCGCACATGCACACATTTATATAGGCAGCTCGCGAGCGCTCGACTGGACATTAATCGTGGAAAACTCGACAAGTTCATATTATAGCTGCGTCGCGTATTCATCCCTGCGTCGGACGGATCGCATCGATATCATACCGGACGCCCAGATATGATTTGTACTGATTCTCAATTGGTGCATCTCGCTTAGCTCGTATAAAAATAATTACGCGGCAGAATATTTCCAAAACTCCGAGCGGTTTTGGAATAAACGAGACGCCTTAAAAAAGCTGCATCGGCGTATAGCTATCCGCCGACGAGTATTTCTTATAAGCGAGCAGTTAATGATTTATCATCAAGCGTAGGCGATTGTATCGATTTTTGCGCCAGCTATAGGTAACAGGCCTCCTCCGCGCTCGGAGCGAGCTGCGCTATATCGAATCGATCAAACAATTGCGATGGGCACTGCGACAGGCAGAGTTGTATCGAGACTCGCGACACTGCATATGAGACTCGAACGTTTAGTTTGCTAATTATCGATTGAAAAGACAATCTATCGGCGCTGTAAGCACTTGATTCTCGAAGGCAAATCAGCCGAGTTTCAGGTACGCAATTACGGTGGCACGCAACGATACGGTACTATACTGAGCCACGAGTCACGTCCAAAAGACACCTTTGCGATCAGCTACATCGAGTCATGTACCAGACTAAATGTCACGATTTTCTGGTAAAGTTCTGTTGAATGAAAAAGAAATAGCGGACAAAAAAGTCGAGACGAGTTTTTTTATCGTGCACATGCTCGAGTACGAGGCGATATGTATCGTCGCAAAGGGGAGCGAAGACCGAAATATCGATTTTTAGGCCCGCTGCGCGAATATAATAATCCCTACGGAGCGGGCGAGAGCCAGCAGTAGCAGCAGCAGCAGCAGCAGCAGCAGCAGCAGCAGAGGGGGTAGGGAGAAAAGCCCCGTCGCGCGACACCAGAGCAGCGCCGCACTCCGCAGTGGCAGCAGTCCTTATTCGAGTAGCAGCAGCAGCGCAATAGAGCTTCGAAACAGCAGGCTCGTGTCCACGAGACGCTCCGCAGACACATTACGAGCTCGAGAAGCATTACTCTCCCCTGGCGCAATAATCGTGTTTATGGGGACGCGCGAGTGAATGAGTGTGTATCGTATCTGTGACATGAGAATCGGAGTGTCGCCGAGAATCGCCTCTCCTCCTGCGCTCCGATAAGACGAGAGAAATTCGATAATAAGCTCGAGAAAAGAGTCGGACTCGACAGTTGGAGTTAGCGAGACTACATCAACAGCGGCAGGAGGGACTGCTCACGATGTCAGGTAAATGTAAACACTGATCGTATAGTCCGTAGGCTCAATTTTCGCGTGCACGTTCGATCAAAACTGCACAAAAGCTCCAATAATACACGTACTCGTCGTAGCCAGTGCCAGTCATTGATTTTATCGCCTTTTTGCATTCTCTCTCTCTCTCTCTCTCGTATAGGTATGCTTTGGCCAGACAGCTCGCACGCACGCCTCGTGTAATCTTCGTTACGTAGCCGGCGATCGACGGCTTCGTTTTACATTACGATACTCGCTGTAAACTGTTTTTCTATGTGCTGTTAGCTAGCGCGGTGGATGGATCATCGTCTTTGTCGCGAAGGGAAAAAAGGTGGAGAGAGAGAAAAGAAAAAAACGCGCACCGCTGCACATTATCATAGGTGCTGCAGCAGCTCGTATACTGCAAAGCAGCAGCAGCAGCACATTGGCATGCTCGAGACACTGCACGTACGGACTCGGCGATGTTGTATGAGAGCTCTATTGATCTATCGGCTCGTGCTCCAATTCACCGGCTGTGTTATACGTGCGAAGCGAAGGCAAACTTTGCAATATTTGCAATTTTTCTCTCTCTCTCGTACAATAGGTATATATAAAGAGAGATCTCGGGGTGCGCGCGCGAGCCTCGCGAGTCGAGTCGAATGTCGAATTGTTAATTCGCGCGCGGCTCAATTGCGTCGATACACGAAAACGATCGATCCCTATCTATACGTCATAATAAATGGGTGCAGTGATTTTGGGTGCGCGTGAGCGAGAGCGACTCCTTTCGCTTCTTCTTTTCGCTTTGCCGCACGTTGTTGCTACTACATATAGACGACGAATTGCCATCGATCTAAAGAGCGAATAGCATCGTATCACGCTCCGCGAGGGCTTTTTACGTGCTCTCTCTCTCTCTCACTCTCTTCTGTCTCTCCTTCATCGCAGCTCGCCGTCGTCGATCCGCATACAATTTCCATATTTTCATTTACCTCCTCGCGCCTCGTTACAGGATCGATAAAAACGTCGGAGATCTTCGTGACTGATTCTGCACTGTGTATTATAGCCACGAATTTCCAACTTTCTCTCTCTCTCTCTTTTATTATAATATAATACCTTATCGTTTTCCTCTTTTCTCTTTCGCATGCTCTCCTCTCTCTCTTTCTCTCGTGCTCTCGTGCAACGACTGGGTTGAAGTTTATCGATCAAAAACGCGGGCCACCGACGCCGCGACGCGTGCCTGCAGGGGTGGCGGATTGCTGCTGCTGTTGCTGCCCCGAAAGAGAGGGAGAGGTTATAACAACGAAAGAGCCAGGGGAATGAGGAACCCCGTGTACGCTGCGCGAATTTCTAATCTCTACCTTTTCTCCGGAATATAAGAAGCTTCTCGCCTTTCTGTCTCTGAATTTATTCGAGCTCGATTTTTCGTGTACATGAAAAGAAGCAGCGTCTGATTACTCTTTCGGGTTCTTTTTGAATATCTTGTCGATCGATGAACAAAAACATTTAAGATGGCAAAAACAGCTTATGAGCTTTGAGCGCGATCAAATCGTCTCGATCGTATTTCGCAACCCCTACGCTCGTCCCATACGGGAGAAATTTCATTTAATCTTTTCTCTGATGTATACGTACCGAAAGAAGGAGAGAGAAAGAGAGAGAAAGAGAGAAAGGGAAAAAAACACTGTACATTGTAATTACTGAAAAGTATTATAATAGTACACGAAGAAGCTGCGCGGCGCTTTTGTCCTGCATCCCTGCAGGCGAAACGACCCCAGTGACGCCTCATGCGAACGACGCGCTCATCTCCTTTTTCGCATGTTATACGTATAATGCATAATGCAGGGGAACTTTTTAAATCGGCCTGTTTGCGACTCTCTCTTTAATGTTTATGCTCGGGCACATGCGACATGCACCCCGAGGCCCGTACAATACGCGAAAGATCCAAAAACAAAACTGGCGTAATTTCGAGTGCGCACGACAAAAACAATAGACGACAGCCTTCGAAATCGTACACGTTTATCGATTTTTGCCTCGATTTCATGGCCGCCGATAAAAATCATTCTTTTCGGCACACACGCCGAGCTGCGAAATTACGCTAAATTATTCCGATTCGCGGCGTCAAAGCAATCGATCGATCGCGTCTTTTTTTATTCTTTACGAAATGTATTACGCACACCAGTAGCAGGCCGTTTCTCTCCGTCTCTTTCTTTCTCTCGCTCATTCAAAAGGGGGATGCTTGGCTGTATGCGCGTTTCTTTCTCCCTCTCTCTCTCTCTCTCTCATCGCGCCTTTGTACTCCATCGATCGATTTGATATTTCGTATATTTTCGCGTCACTCGTCCGATATCAAAGCGCGTTATATAGAGCTGCGATCGTTAAATTTTGTACAAGAGATTCTCGTACTTTGCCTTGACACAAGTTGCGAAATTGAAATTGCAGAAAAAATCGGCGTACCACCGTCGGAGAACTTCCAGTTGAAATGGCACAGCTACGGGGCCCATCTGCACAGCTCGGTGGCGACCCTGCTCCACTCGGAGTCGTTCGCCGACGTGCTGCTGGCCACCTCGTGCGGACGCCACGTGGCCGCTCATCGCTTCGTCCTCGCGGCCTGCTCGTCCTACCTATCGCACATCTTCCAGAATTGCCACTTTGGTGCCAACACCAATGCCCCTATCATCGTGGTGAGTTGCATCGACGCTTTTTTCATTGGCCCGCTCGAGGAAGCAAACTGAGTCGTCGAGTTGTTGCAGGTCCTGCCGACGGAAATCGGTTACCGTACCTTGAAGATCCTCGTCCAGTACATGTACAGCGGCGAGACGACCGTGTCGAACGAGCAGCTCGAGAGCGTCTTAAAAGCCGGTGATATTCTCCGAGTGCGAGGACTCTGGCGATCGAATTCGACTAGTAGCAAGAAGGAGAACATCCAGTCCAACAGTCAAACTTCCGGCAAATCGGCAGCCAGCGGCAATAGCCTGCCCGCGGCCAAACAGTCCCAACAGACGGTCGTGGCTTCCGGCCACTTTCAGAAGATCAAACTCGTGCAGCCGGAGCAGCATCATCACCATCAGCAGCAGCAGCAGGTAATACAGCAAACGCCGCAGATCCACAGTGCCAGCGAGAGGAGAGCAGCTGCGTCCAGCGACAACAACAAATCTGCCAAGGACAAGGAACACGAGCAGCTCGAGTCGAGAGCCGGCCAGGAGGTCGAGAATGGAGAGGTTGGCAAGAATAAGGAAAACGTCGAAGTCAATCGAAGCAAAGATAAGAGAAAATTCAGCGAGACCGAGAGCATCAGGAGCAAGAGTGACGTGAGCATCGAGGAAAATGTGAGTTATCGTAATGTACCTAGGCGGCCGAAGCGGCTTTGGTCGGGATGATTTTTCAATTGAATTTTACAGTCGCGGGACTTGAATCTGGACATGGTGGTGAAAGAGGAGCCAGTACAGTGGGAAGAGCCGATGGACCCGACCGATGCTCTCACCATCGACCACGACATCGACATCAAACCCGAAATCGTTCACAGTGCCGACGAGGACGGCGACATCGAAGAGGAAGAGTACACGCCCTTAACTTGTGATATGTGCAGTCAAACGTTCAATCGACCTTCCGACTGGGTTCGCCACATCGAGTTCACTCACGCAGACATGACGGAAAATCGAAGAAAAAAGAGAAAGGTCTGTTGCGCTGCCTAATTATATTTATGCTTTATCGTCGAGCCAGCATCGTTATCGAGGACAATTGTTTTTCGTTGGCAGGGCGAGACCGACGACGACGGCAAGGACTTTCCACCCTTGAAGTGCGACCTCTGCGGCAATCAGTATCCCACGCCCCAAGAGTGGGTGCGCCACATTCAAACGGAGCACACGGAGGAGCAGCTCGCCCTGATGAACAATTCGGCGCCGCCGAAGCCGAAGCGCGTGCACAATCACCAGAAGCTCTGCAACACCTGCAACAAAGTATTTCCGTCGCACGCCTCCATGGTCATACACCAGCGTACCCACACTGGCGAGAGGCCCTTCCTCTGTTCCTATTGTAAAAAAGGCTTCAACGTCAAGAGCAATCTGTTGAGGCATCTGCGAACTCTCCACGACAAATTCGTACATCCGAGTCTCTACGGGAGCAACGGCAGTAAACATAACAACACCTAAGGGTGTAAACAATTATCAATCAAGGCTAATCAAACTTAAATAAAACTAATACTTCAAGCTTCTTTCTTTTTTATAAAGGTGTTAAGTATGTGATTATGACAGCAAAACGAAGTTAGATTTAGTTGAGCCTTAAGGTATTAAAAATTACTTTTAATAAACTTAGATTACTCTTTGAAACTCCCTCCCAGTTGGACGTTAAAAAAAAAAAACAGTATCGAGGCTGTAAAAAATTAAGGAGTCTGACAATTAATGCCAAAGTATTTCGTGTTTTTCTTTTTTGCTACTTTTAAATCGTAATAATTATAGGCAACGTTTTTTCTCGATGAACGTACTCATACCAAAAATGTAAACTCTTTACTTTTAATTAATCTAATGTTAATGTTATGAAATAAAAGTGCGAGTGATAAGCGCGATTGTGATGTGAACTATATATTTGAAAGAAATCGTTGAGAATGTAAAATACTAGAGAACGAAAACTTTTAAAATTTCTCACGCATGCATTTTTCCATTGCGAATTTTGAGCTATATGACGGATCGATCGATCAAATTCTATTTATAATATAGATTTTTAAGATTTCAAACGTGTACTTCTATAAAAGTAGGCTATGCAATCTCTGGTAGCTCACTAATCTCCGCAGTTCGTAAGCTAATTATGTATTTTTATATTAAAAAAACGATGTAGCTAATAACATTCTTAGTACATAAATCTTTTAAAAAAAGATAACAATTTACTATTCTATTAGCTTTTTTCGAACTTCAAATCAATGAATAGGATAGGGAAAAAAAATAAATATATACAAGATTTATCAAAAAAATGAACAAATATATATTGATTTTCATATTATACATTTTAATTGTGACATTTACCTGATATCCATGAAAATTCATCAAGTCACAGTTGAATCAAACAGAAAGAATGTACATCTTTTAGAAAGTATTGTAATTACATTATCCTAATTCGAAAAAAATAGTGTCAATTCTGTATTGCGCTAATACTGTGACAAGCCAAACGACTTCAATATAAAGTTTCAATATATATCATTCTTGAAATTACTTATAAACAATGAGTTTCTTCATTTTCTATTTGTTAAACCTAATTTAAAACTGATACTCACTCAGTGAGCTAGGATGTTATATAACAATTATGACTGCAAGTCAAGATTTTCTTTTGGTATGTTTAAAAATCTTTAAAAAAATCATTGTGCTTAGATGATGGTGAGTAAAAAAGTGAAAAGTGGATATCAAAATTAGTTGATCATCAATCAATTCTCATCTTCATCATCAATCTTAGGTGCAAGGTAATATCTAATGTGTCCTATTTCTCCAATGGAATATTCGCATACCAAAGGTACGTCAGCAGACATAGATAATTTTACTTGAGCACAAAGTGGTGTTGCTTTTACAAAAGAATTCAAGTAACGACAAGCAAATGTGAGTTTTACAGGCTCCTGCATGTCAATACAAACAGCTTCTTCTTCTTTGTCTACTTCTGCAGTTTGTGCCAATTTGATGTTAGCTGTATGGGAAAAATTACAAATTAGTACTCATAAATTATACCAATTTCTAAAGTTCTACAATAAATAATTAATCATTAATGATTGTTTTAGGATTGACTTAATAATAGATAGGATTCCAACATTATTAAAAATAAATAAAATACAATTGCATGATATTGAGAAATCAGTGTAAATAAATTTGGTAGCTTTATGAAGTGAGATTTCCAAGATTTACGTGCTATACAAGATTATTAAGTAAATTAGTTATCTTGAGGTCAATCACTGAACACAAATAAACACTAAGCTGACCACGGTTATAATATCAACAAGAGTATAGATACAAGTAAATTGATTACACGCCATCTACTCTCCCAATAATACATTCTCAGTAAGAGTTTTACTGTTGAACACTGAAGGTCTATAGTGTGCAAAATGTTAACAATTCCAAAACTGTGTATTCCATCATTTATGCAAAGGGTATGTAATAAAATTTTTTTTTCTTACCATTTCCGTAATCACCAGCTGCAGAGAATTTAACTCCCTCCTTAGAGCATGCAATTGTAATAGCTTCACCAAACTGACTAAGATCCTTACATATTCTGGCAAATTCAGCTGAGGGCATTTTCACTACACACGAGTACATAGTTTCCTGTGTGAAAGTAACATTTTTGTATTGTCATAATTTTAACTTTTCTTTGAAAAATTTGCAAATTTCATAAAACTTACGGGAATACCAAGATGTTCTTGGTCCATGTTGATGAGTTTCATTTCATACTCGGCGAGTTTTTCTTTGCTGGGAGATTCGAAAATGAAAATAATGTTGTCGGGGTTGTCCCAAGCCCTGAGGGTGACCGTGTCCTCGGAGCTGGCGCATCTTAAAATCTTCGTCATTCTAGAAGATTCCACACGTGTTATCATAATGTAACCCTCAAAGAAATTTGTCGTGCAAAATCGAAAATATTGACTTACGTGGTGATGTTCATGCCCATGGACAAATTCCTATCACATCTGAATTTATCGAAACCATCGCTCCTCAAGTTCAACGATACCAGGGAGACGTGAGCATTGTCCATAGCTTGTACCATTATACCCGAATCTGAGCATTCGAACGTCGCCTCGCTCAGCAGGTCTTTGACGGCCTCGAGGACCTTTTTCAGGATTGCACTCTGAGCCAAACGTGCCTCGAACATGTTTACGATCGTTTAAATAACCGAAAATGTTTAAATAAAACTCAACTATTGCGAAGTATCGCGCAGCGATGTCGTGCAACAAGTGCCGGGTTCTATGTGTGCAATATAACTAGCCTCGAACTTTTGCGATCGAGAGGGGAGAACAACGAAAGCCCGCGCGCGATTTCGCGCCAAACCGAGATGGCGGTTAGTGATGGCGCGGATGTAGAGGGCAAGAAGACTCGAGAGGAAGTTGGGAACATAGGGGTGGAAATTGAGCGAATTTTTAAAAAATTTCTGTAGCGTCCTATGTGCGTGCGTGTGGGAATAAAAAATCGCATTTGTAAAAAGTTGTATTTATTGAAAAAATTGTAAAACGGCATTTACAAGCCTGCAATGTACAAACAAAATATAAAATAATTCAAAATAATATCGCAGCATTGACGTAAAATTTACGTTTTCGAGATGATTATCGCAAAGAATTAATATCACAAGTCTCAACATAGACGACGTGGAGACAAGCATATAATACAATGTATAATTATTTACAAATATTGTTCTAACTTACTAAGTGTTTATAAATTGAGTATTACAACTTAATTGTAAATATGAACAAAAAAATTTGGTATCACGGTCATTCAGAACAATTAAATTAAGTTTTAGCCATTAAAAATCCAAATCACCAGACATGTTTTCTAGATCGTTGAACATTTTATCCAAGTGCTGCCAAATAAAAAAAAATTAATTAGAATTTGAATAGTATTTTGGTATATCTCTTTGAGTATTGTTATTCACTCACATCGGAAGGTGCATCGATTTCATTCGACACCTTTCGGTTCCTTGATAAAAATGGTTTAAAACTTGTCATATCCTTTTCGTACTCACTATCGTCATCATCTTCCTCGTCTTGACGAAATATTTCGCCTTCATCGTCTTCGTCGTCCTCGTCATCTTCGTCGTAGTAAACCTCTTCGACCTCATTGTAATCAATTGGTTCTTCTTTGATTTCTGTAAGCAGTAATTTATCCTCTCCACTGGGACTATTTTCTAATGGCACATTTTCTGTATTTAATCTATGTGGTATTGAGGGCTAGAAGAAAAATATTTTCAATGTCATTGTTAGTTTTTTTTAGATCATAAAGTATTTTAAAAATTTACCTGTACTTTATTAGTTGCTGATACTAAGGAACTTGAAACAGCCGTCAATGAATCGGTAACATTACTTTGGCCAACATTAGTTTTTTCAGTCTGTTTATCTAAATTATTAGTCCTGACTACAGAAAGATTATTATCTTTCTTTTTTTCTTCTTTTGAAGCTTTTAATTTTGAATTAGAATTATCTGTATTTTTGGAAGCTTCATCTTTAAGTTTTTTTGGACTGACTTTTGATTCTCCTGGTAAACCTGTGTGACCTCTTTGTCTTCTAAATCTAACAATAATACTTCTGGTATCCCACATTAAACTATGTGCTTCTTTATAAGCTGCTATAGATTCATCGGTACTATTGTACCTTATAAAAGCATACCTAAAACAAAATAATGTTAAGTATAAAAATAAAAAATAATCATTTATAATTTCAGGCAAGTTACCTTGTATTTCTCATTTTTTGTGCGTAACCTACATCAACTCTAGCTGCTGTAGGGAATTTACTTTTTACTTCATTTACATTGACTGATTCTGGTAAATTTCCGATGTAAAGAGTGTAAGGATCAATTTCTTCTGGCGAAGGATTATCTTCATCTCTTATAGATTTTCTTTCTACTTTCAAATGCCCTGTTCCAAAAGGAATTTTTTCCAACTCCTCTATAGCTTTATCTAAATCAAAGTCTTGTTTCATTTGTATAAAGCAATATCTAGGACCGCTAGGACTTTGAAAGTGTATATTCTGAATGCCAGGATGGAAATCTCTTACTATGTCTTTATTTAAATCTGGGTCTGGAAATTTAATGATTAAACTCTGAGATCTCACAACTCTGGCGTACTCCATTTCTATTTTTATTGCTCTTTCAGCATCTTCTCGATTCCATGGCCGACTGGGGTAACTTTGTGACATTGGTTTGCGTGTTTTGGTTTTCTTAGGCACTACCTCCTCCTATAATTAAAAATCAAAAGATATTTCAGATTATAGTCATTTGTTGTACTCATGAGTTAAGAAATGGAAGAAAATTACTTTATTTTCATTTTCGTGAAAATCTTCAGTTCTTTTGGTTCCAGTAGCAGGTACATGGCTTTGGGACTGCATGTGTCCAATACTTTCATTATTTCTTTGCCAATCTGAGTTGGCGCTGGGAATGACTTGTGAACCATAATAATTGGATTGATCAAATTGAGTCTGATTTTGATCAAACCTCCTATTTCTGTTTCTATAAAAATTGCCTCTATTAGAAAACTGTGTATTCCTGTTGTGATTGAATCTCTCCCTCTTAATGTAATTATTTCTCATTGCCAAGTCACATCTTTGATAGGCAGCCGGGTTGATTGGTGTGGCTTGTATGGGAGTAGGTTGCGGCGTCATCCACTGCCAAGCTTGCGACCAGGCCGCAGCAGCCGCGGCTGCTTGGAATTGTGAAACTTGAGCGGGCCCGAAAACCGGGGCCGGCGGGGGTGGTGCGGCCGGTTGCGGGGGAGGCATCGGCGGCAGTGGCGGTTGACCCGGTAAAGGTTGCTGAGACATTTGATTTGATGTGGCTTGAGAATAATACTGTTGCGCCGCCGGATCATAACTGTACGTGACATTTGTCGCGGGAGGATTCGCACTTTCTTGTTTAATAAACGTTTGATTTGTCTTTATTTCGACGGTGTCCCCTTCGCCTCCCTGATGATTAAAGGAAAAAGAATTATCAATAATAATACAGATAAATACAATGAAATTTGAATGAAAAAAGTGATTTATACTCGTGTGAGAGAAGTTTTTTTATTCATATTTCCTGGAGTTTAAAATTGCAAGGGCCTTGGAAAAAATCGACCGTAGCGCAGTCTAGTGCAGTCGTTTGCCGATTGTTTGCAAAAAATCGGCAGCATTCGAAACAAAAGCAACGTTGTTGTGCGGGGCTTGTAAAAAACTAACCTATGTTTTCTCTCCCTTACAAGCGCAGCAAAGCATTGGCCGCACACGAGCAACCCTCGCGCGCAGCAAGGACGAAAGCTTTCCGCGTAAATAAACGCGAGGCGTGCTGGCGAGCTACTACCGAATACGAGGCATTGAAAGGGTGACATACCGTTACGTTCATAGTGCTGGTCTGCGTGTTCGCACTTTGTTGTTTGTTTATATTTGTGAAAAATCCAGTGCTGGTGTTCTCGTCTGCTTACGGCCGCTGGCGAGGATTTCCCATAGAGAGCACTGTCCGAAGTAGGAGAAAATCCGGCGCGCTCAGAGCGCGCATCGCGTGCGTAGCGACGAATTTTCGTAGGAGCCTGCTAGGTGGACCGGCGCAGTCAGGCGGAGAGGGGGCCAATCCGTATGTATTCCATACGCAGCACAATCGTACAAACGTACATGTATATGGCCAGAGATTATTGTAACGCCACGAGTCTTGTGGTACAGTTGTTGTAGCTGTTTTAGTGCTGTATACGTGTGAGCGCAGTCGCAGCGCGCGGGGAAAGGGAAGCCAGTTTCGTCGTCGTTCCTGAGAGCCAAAAAGTATTTTGTGCGTGCCGTGGCAAGAGCAACTGGCCCGAGTTCTTTTTGGCTCTGCACGGAGCCGAGTAAAAGACCCAACGTCGAAATTTTTGTCGAGCCACGCCGCTAGCTCGCTGCGCCGGAACACGCTGGAATTTTCCTTTCGTTGGAAGCGTCGGCGTGCGCCTAAGTGGCACTTTCACTCTTCCACTTCACTAACATCGTGTACCGGCCTATAACGGCTAACAAGTAACAGTCGCCTAGCAGCAGTCGTGGAGGATAGTGTCTGTTGCTGGTGCGAATACGAGTGTGTGTCGTAGTTCAGTGTACCATATAGGCCCTAGTTTGGTTTTCTTCAGTTGCTACCACGTTATTATCACGAGTAGAACTTTGCAATAATGCATCGCAACAGAAATAACAGAAGTAACGGTGGCGGTGGCAGCGGATTCGGTAGCGGCAACAGCAACGGCGTTCGCGAGTTCAACTTGCCGAGACGTGGTGACCGTGGTGCAACCTTTAACAGATTTGGCAATGGCAATAATGGCCCAGCAGCAGCCCCTACGCAAGCAGCAGCACCCGACGCCGCCGCCGCAGCCGTAAATCAGCGAGCCAACGAGTGCATAGTCGAGACAATTCAGGTGGAACCTCCTACTCTGGTGAGTGAAATCCATCCTCGTGGCCTACCTGCCTACACAACCTCTTTGTAAAGGCTCGCTCGAGCACACGCGTTTTTTCTGACCCGCGCCACTATTGGCTGTTTCTTTGCTTATTATTATTCATCGGATGGAATTTCAGCCCGGGCCCTAAGCGGTGTCGTTTTTCGCTTTCATCATGCTTCCGTGAGCACACTTGCAGACGAGAGGAATGCCTCCTGCGTGCTGCGCGGCTTTTTTCACAAACTGGTTATTTTTTCATTGTATTTGGCTTGTTTCTTGCGAGCCAGCGAGCGAGAAACGAGAGCGAGAGAGACGGCCAACTTTCGACCCGAGGAATATCATATTTTTCGGTACTCGACGCTGCGTTCTAGTCTCTCGAGCTAATGGTCTCTTTCGAGTTGGACTGAATTTGAGAAAGGCCGGTGTAGCAGCACATGGCACGGACTCAGCATTAACGATATGCGACTCCACGCGTCGCTCTGTGTACAGTGTACGCGCTAGAAAGTTGCATGGCGCATGGCTTTCATTCATGATCCAAGTCCTTGCGAATGCAGCTGCCATAATATAGTTATACATTTTACGCAAGGCCGATTCGCGCCTTGTGCAGACAGCTGAATGAGCATATATAGCATTTCAGCTTGTTGATATTGACATTTTTTCAAAATGGCGTTCAAAGCTTTGGAAATTGACCTCCAGGTCGCGAGCGTAGGTGAAACGGAAGGTTGACTTTAGGCGCTTCCAGAAGGCTACACGCGTGTTCGACACTTTTTCGAGCAATCACCTAAACATGTATTTTCGAATCTTCGAACAAGTGGAAAATTACTTGATCTACCCTATGTTTCAGTGTCCTCTTCACGATTGTCTTTTAAATTTCACTCTACCGTACTACAAGAACGAATTTTGGAAAACGATTTTCTGAACGAATTTCCTTTTTTAGCTAGCTTTTTTAAATCCATCTGGCCTCACAATTTTAAGTAAATAAGACTACCCACTTTCTTCTTTACTTTTCATAGTATATAATTTTGTGACTCAGCATATTTTTTCAAAATAAAGTGACTTGCTATCTGATATATCTGAATGCACGAAAATCTTAAATGTACCTTCAAAAACGAATGTTCTCTTATATTGAAAGAATGTATGGTTGTGTAGAATATATCTTTTCATGAACTTCGTCGAGATGTTTACGGGAGAAAAAATCAATTAGAGCAAATCAGTAAAAGTTTAAGTAGGTTTGTTGAAAAGAGCGCACGATTCTCAGCTACTAGGCTCTGACTATGAGCGCTTTTCTGCTGCGCTCTCTCTTTTCCTCTCATTCTCTCTCATCCGCGCGCCAAAGATAATGCACTCGCATTCGTGGAAATGGTGAGCTTTAAATCGAGCGCGCGCTTCGAATGGGCCTATCCGCGAGTCTTTGGCACGAGTTGCAGGCATGCGGCTACGCCTACAATCTCTTTTCCTGTTCCTGCTGTGCACGCGAGGTTTTAGATAAACAGCGGTGAACTCCTGACTTGTCAACGAGACCGTCAGCTGGGAGGCTTTCGCTCCGCAGCGAGAGAATTCTCGTTTCTTCTCGAGTCACCGATACATTTTATCATACACACGCATACACATACACATACGTACGCGATACCTATATATGCTTTTCCACGGCTAAATGTGTATAATTTTTGTCAAGTGGGGTTAGGTGTACTCCGTGCTACTCCACTCTACAGCAGCACGAGAGAGTGAGTAAGAGCTAAAAGCGAGCATATAGAGTAGTAGTCAGTCGGCAGATGTCCCGAGTACGGGGCTTTCACGCCTGCTAAAGAAATTTTCACTTTGCTCGCTATCGCGCCTCGCGTATTACAGACATTGCATACGTTTTTCTCAATTCCGTTAAATACAATCTCGAATTTTCGAATTTCCCCTGCGATTTCCGGCAAGTGCGTACACCGATTGTGTGCGTGTGTGTCCGAGAAAAAGGTCTCGTTTCTCCATTCCATATATAGTATTGTTATATAGCAGACGCTCTCAAAATAAAGGCGAAAAATAATAAACACAGATAGCAAATGGCTGAAGCAGCAAATCCTCCGAAGGAAGAGGTTGCCGAGGTAATGGATAATTAACACCCGCGCCGATATCGGAGTCATTGGCACCGATGAATTACGCTTACTACTGCCCAGGCCTTTAACTACTCTTTAATCGCTTTTCTACATCACGGCACTTTAATACTTCTTTACCAGCTGATTATTGTCCCTGGAACTTGCTCATTTTTTTCCAATCTACGCTTGATAGACTTTAAATATAGAAATTTGTTGTGGGGTATAAATATAAACCTGTGAAACGTTACGTTCTTAAAGTACGTGCGTGTGAGTCTGTGCATGTGTGCGTGTGATGTGTATGTATATATCTGTACGTCATGACTGTATGCCAGTGTCGTATTTCCATCAAGTTCATATGAGAAAAATTTCAGTTTTTTATATCAAATGAGCCTTCCATTCCATGCAGAGTGCTATTCGATACCTAATTCTCTTAATTATTCACTCGAAACGAGCACACAACTTTTGAATTTGAAGCTCATACATAACATATGACAAAAACGCGTAGCCTCAACGTACGCGATGGGTGCCGAGCAATTAAAGTACCGGACAATATGTTCGTGAAACATATCTACTTTGCTTTGACAGAAGCAATCGCTCGAGCATGCCATCGACTCTAACGTAGAAAAACATTGAAAATTTTCAAAACATCGGCCAAGTCGTGAATTAAAAATCATGCGCGTCTTGCATATTCATGAATGAGGATTTTCTGTCTGACTCTCTGAATTAAAAAAAAAAAGAGAAAAATTTTCCAACGCTCCATAGGCTCCCCCACCTTGAGTGCACGAGGCGTGAGAGCTGTGCATCGCTTTTTTGTATACCTAATTTCCTCCAAATTGCCAAGCCGCGCTGCTCCGTTCTCGTTCTCTTTCTCTCTTTATTGCAGGCAATGACGCTCATCTAACTTCGTTTTTTGACTTTCGCGCATCATACATAACTAACATAACAATCTATATCCTCGTATGCACGTATGTGTATGTATACGAAGTATATCGCTGGTGCGCCTACGCGGCGTTTTACAGCCTCTCTCGCATGGCGCCGCGCCTGCCGCGAGCCGCCTCCACCGTATATACAGATACACGCGTACCTTTTATAAACTCATATACATTTTGTCGTTTTTGGCCGATATAGCATATTGACGACTGTCTCGGAGCTTGGATCGCGATTGTTATTTATTCGCGCGACAGCAGATTCCATATAGTGCGAAATTCGCATAGAAACCGCATAAACAAACAAATAAAAGCTCCGTAATTGCGAGAATCTTTAGTTACTATCGTTACGTGTATACAGTGGAGCATATAAAGCGATTGAAATTGAAATATTGTGTAACTATTTAGTGTCTCCGATTCATACGAGCGATTGATCGAATAAGTTTTAGATTTTATTTTCAACGCATTGCTTACTCTATTTTTTATGGCTATTACTTTTCACGTACTTCGCTGAATAAACCGTAATAAAAGCAAATTGTTATGTTAACGTTACGCACGATGGTCTCTTCGAATGGTCATAATGGGGTAAATGGCGACAATCAGTCTTGCAATATATAGAATATATTCATATTGTGACTGCCAATTGTAACCAAGCATAATAAACGTATATTTTTCAATTCAATTTGCAGGAAATCGAAAGGAGAGAAAACACCCAAACTCCTGCCGAAGACTTTCCTCCAGAACTGTTGATTAAACATCCGCTTCAGAATACCTGGACTCTTTGGTATTTTGAGCTTGACAAGAGCAAGTCATGGGAAGAAAGTCAACGCGAAATCACTAGCTTTGATACGGCTGAAGATTTTTGGAGGTATGTTTTCATCAGATCTTATTTAACGCTGTTATAAGTGCAATCCATGTGATAATCAGTACGTAACCTAAAATTATTCGTTTGCTCAGTTTTTTTGCATGAGCAAAGTCGTTCATAGTCCATTTTTTGCAGCATTGAATTTAGTATTGTTACAACATAATTCAAAAATAAATTCAAATTTTATTTTATTTGCAGTATGTATCATCATATCAAAACAGCATCAGAACTCAAAAATGGATGTGACTACAGTATGTTCAAACAAGGCATTCGGCCCATGTGGGAAGACAAAGCTAACAAACAAGGAGGCAGATGGCTCATTAATTTGGATAAGAAGCAGAGATCAACTGAATTAGATCATTTTTGGCTAGAAATATTGTTATGTATGATTGGTGAAGGATTCAATGAATATTCTGATGACATCTGCGGTGCCGTGGTTAATGTGAGACCCAGAGCAGATAAAATTGCTGTTTGGACAGGTGACGCTAGCGTTCAAGCTAGTGTAATGGAAATTGGGTAAATAATTTGGTTTTTGATTCAATAAAAACAAAATTTTCTCTTACTTTAACTCAATTAATATTTCTTTTCAGACGAAAACTAAAAGAACGTTTGAAGATCACACCCAAAATAACTATAGGATATCAAGTTCACAAGGACACAATGGTGCAAAAGGGAAGTACGACTAAGAACACATATGTGATCTAAGGTGAAAGTGCAACTGTCAATGCATTATAATTTATACTGTTTTCTTTGTTATTTCTGATAATACCCAATTACTGACTGGAATCAGAAGCTGGTAGTTAAGAAATTAAAACTAATTGGGATTACTATAAACATAAATTACTTTTTCCAAATGTTTAGTATAGTAATAAAAATATGAAAATATAACCGAAAGTAATAAAAATGATTGCTGAATGATGATTTAGTATAAAAGATGTACGAATATTTAATATGTACTATATACAAATGAGTATGTTTGGTGAGATTGGCGCAGGTTGCTGTATTACCATTTCTGTCAAATTCAACAGATGTTTTAGTTTGATTTTAGTTAGCAGCTTGCGTTTTCATTTCGATAGTTTATAAGGAAATAGTTAAAAGTGAAAAATACACAGCAATCTGTTCATTAATTGTTATTCGCATGCTACATAATAACTGATTAGATATGCATCGTACATCCATTTTTTCATAGTTCATATGTAACTCAGTTTTCTATGTAAATTATACTTAAAGTACTGCGAATAAATACTTCTTTATATATAAATATATACAAAAATATTTTTTTATTTTCATTCCTTTTACCACAAATTTATACAATCTTGATACAATAACACTTTATTTTTCTGCAACTATTAAATATCAAGAGTGAAAAATATCTTCCACTTTTTTTTTAATGTCGTTTCTTTTAGAGTCTTTTAGGGCATCCAATATTTCTCTTTTCCAGTTTTGAGGATTTTTGGAAAAATATTCATTTAAAGCCTGAAATAAATGAACATATTATTATTATTTAGGTTGAAATTCAATAAACTGTAATGCACCTTTTATCAAAAATGAGAAAGTAAATATTGATTTACCTCTTTCATAGCACTTTTGTATGCATTTGTCTGGTCCAAAAATTTTATTTCTAATTCATCAATAAGAGATTCTGAAAGATTCAAGTGTCTGCAAATGTAAATCCAATGTTTACCTATATGATTACTTATACAGTTTGTGACTGTAAAAGAATATAATTGACTTTTAGAAATTATTTTAAATGGTGTTCAAAAATATAAAAATAATATTACCTTTAGTTTTAAGTGCTTTATCTGGATCATCTGGAGGCACTGTTGAGTAGAAATGTGGCTGATTTAAAGTAAATCCAAAGTTAAAGTTAGGAATAGGAGCTGGCATTGCATTTTCAATACTTTCCATTGGTGTAAGAGCTAAAGATTTAAGATGTAATATTATCAGCGTGATACAACAAATAAGTACAATATTCATTATTGCAATAGAGGACAATATGATGCATTTTTTAGTTTGGCTTGCCTTCTTATGCTTTTTATTATCTACAAATGAGAAAATATTGCCAGAAATTTTTTTGGTAATGTGTTGATTATTAGATTTTGGATTCATAGAAAATGAATAATTCATTTGTTCTTCAGCCTCATAGTTTGTCAGTATTTTTTCAGTGTTGGAAAGATTTATAATTTGAAATTCACTGTTACTATGACCATAAGACTTACCATGGTATAAAATATTGGTTTCGGAAGCTTGAAACTGTTGATTATATGTTGTTATTAAATCTGTAATTTCCTTATTTTTTAATTTATTACCAATGATTTTAAGTATATCTGTATTATCATAGCTTATAATGTTACGCTTGTCCAAAGCCAACAAAAAAGTTTCCAAGTTTGTTATTGTTTCTAGTTCACGTGGTCTTATATTTTTGCAATAAACTTTCTTCAAATTATTCAATGTTTCTGTATCCATTTGATCTTGTGCAATAGCTATCACATCACTTATTAACTTATCATACTGTTCCATATTTAAAATCATATGCCCACTGCTTTGAATTGACAAAGTCTTGCTTTTTACTTGACTATATAATATACTTCCCCTATGTATATGCAACTGTTGTTGGGATTCCCCTCAGATATATACTTTTCATCGAGTGAATAGACTAAAGACTGATTACATTTAGGTTGTGTATCTGATAGGAAGTTAGAAGACTCTACAACAATAAAAGTTATCAAAAATCAATAAGATATAAATATAATTTAGTAATAACGGAAATAAATTTAAGTAAATTTAAAATTAATCAATGGTCAGCATACATGAAAAAAATCTGCTGAATGCAATTTTTGAGATATTTGTGTTTAATTATGTAATTTTTACCACATACGTTAAAGCTGCGTTATGATGAAATGCACTATTAATCACGACATAAAATTTTACACAAACTTATTTACAAATTTATTCTCTGAGAGTAAGCGTTTATCGTCATTATCAGCTGAGTGGAATGCGTCACGTGTAGCACAATAGATAAGTATTTCATTAAATTTTATTGTTTTTTTTCAATGATATCACATAAGATTTTGTTTTCTTATTGTAATAGTATTCTTTAATGAAACTTACACAATAACGATTTAACTAGAACAAGTAAAAAAATGTAAACTACTGACTATATCCTAAAATTATTAGTTTGCAAGTATAACGCATGTTACTGCGGTCAATTTATTCGAAGTCGAACTTATGAAAGATGTCGCTCTCGATCGTGCATTTTGTGAACTTAATTCAAATCGTCGTTTTGAACAAATAAAAATTGCACGTTCGGCTACGTTCCCATAAATTAAATTTTATAAACCAAGAAATGTTGGACAAAGTCCATAGAATCATATAAGCTTACAGCAAAAGCTCCAGGCTCATTTTAAAAATGGTTAATGAAGTCAACGGGACAAAACATATATGTAACCTGAGTTGTCAACTCGTTTGCGTTGGTCATCGAAGATATAATTGTTTAATAAATAAATTGATGATACAATCTACTCCCGTTTGATTATTTATCATGAAAGTCGTGTTTTTCTAAATCGAATCACATTTATTCGGGTGCAAGTGTGCATCGTATTAACAGGCGCATTTCTAACTAAACACGAGCAATTAGCGTACGTTATGCCCGTGAAACGTACGTATCTTTTGAGTCATGTGTGCTCTGATTCATGATAAAGAAGAATGAAAATAGGCAGTATAGTGGCCAAATGTCGACTCTTGTTCGAAAAGCCAAATGCTCCGATTCAGATGTCAAAGTCTGTTCGTAGCGCAAGAAACGGTCAGGCAGCAGGCATCGGCAGGATAAAGTCCGATACACGCTGGAAGCCGCAATAAAAGCGAGCTTACGAGTGTATACGCCACATGCACAAGCGAATGGAACGATGTTTCAAGCTCATACCACACGAGTAAGTAACGAATATATAGAGGTATATATAGGAAAAGAGATGGCAAGGTCTGTATAAAACCTGTAGAGTGTAGAGCACGTATATATAGCGACCGATCGTATACATTACATACATCCCTATGCGTATGCGCAAAATCCTCCATCCATCGGCTCGTCGGCGGCTCGGCCCTCGCGCTGACTCGTTCCGTTCAAGACTTTGCGCGAATGAGAGAGAAAGAGAGCGAAAAGATATTACAGACTGGCGAGTGGCGTGTATAATGTACCGTCGCCTGCGGCTCGCTGGCGATGCGATGGCATGGCATGGCTGGCTTCCGAGACGTGTCGCCGCGCCTGATATGATATTCCCTCTTCTCTCTCGTGTGCATGAGGCAGTGTTGTAAGGCAAGCCTCCGCCGACATCGTTTAGTCCTGCTACAGTCGCGTTAGATACGAGTCGCCACGAGACTGGCTATATCTATCGCGATCTACCTACGTCTTCTCTAGTTCTTTTCGTTTATTTTTTATTTTTTACATGTACGATTATTTGTGTTTGAGCGAGTCGCCAGTGTCGACTAGACTTTGCAGTACGTACGGAGCATAAAAGTACTGTGATTTTGTGAGTTATTACATCCATGTATACATATATATACGCATATGTATGTACGTGTATAATAAATATATATATAGTGTATGCGTGTGTGCGTGTATACGCGATACAGGAGGCATCGCAGGCAGTACTGGATACAACATACATGCATGCCGAGTGAAAGAGAGAAAGCAGCAGCAGCAACAGAGTTTTAGTGTTTCATCCACCTGTGTGCTCTGGCTCTGGGCCTGGCCGTGTCCTGTAGATTCAGATACATCGTGTTGCGCGCGCGCCACCCATCGTCCGTGCGATCGAGATCCCCAGCCAGTACATAAGGTCCTGTACGGAGTACCAAGTGCGAACGACCAGTGCTGAGTGCAGCAGGCTGCATGAGCTCTGCGGGCTGCCTCGAGTGAGTGCCTGACCATCCCGTGCGTGTATATGTACATGGTGCATAGAATACAAACATATATCTCTGTTGTATATGTTTGTGTGCAGCTGCAATGCAGGCTTAATCGAAGAAGACACAACCCGATCAGCGGGATGATACGCTGATAATGAGTGTCCATGTGTGAGTGCGACTTGCCCGTCTTGCTGCTGCTGCATGCGAGTGAGTAAGACAGAGAGACAGATCGACACGGACAGAGAGAGGATGCACTAGGTCATGCACGCAACATTATAACCGTGCGCGCGTATCGGACGAGGCCATACACATTTCTCTCTTCTCTCTTTCTCTCTCTCTTTCTCTCTCTATCTTTCTTCACCATACCAATATATGCTGTATACACGTACATCCGCGTATATGTATATATATATATGTTTAAAAGTATCTTTTTAACTGTACACTTTTACATATGCGTGCATATGTAAATATGCATAAAACTTTTTAAAAATCCATGTATATTTATGCAACACAACTCTGTCTTATGCAGCAGTCCTTCTGGTAATCGTCGCAGAATCAAAAGTACAACGTTCAAACGCTGAGATAACACGAGAATGATTTCCGGAAAATGTGAATGGAACAGAGTGAGGCCGACGATCAACTTGGCATTATTGACGTTAGATCAACGACAGCTGAATTTAGAAAGATTCAACTACAATACTCCAGCTTTGGAATACAGCAGGTAAACATTTGGTTTTTTCTATAAATAAACCGTTAACAGTCGAGCCTAATGCTTTTGCTTTCTATATATGCCTAAAAATAATGTATAGAAATCATCAGAGAGAGTGTTTATGTGCTAGCTTGTAATAACCAAAGGATTTCATTCATGCATCTGTTTGGTTATAAATGTTGTTTACTATATCTGATATAATTGTGGCCATTTAAAATTGTTACAAACATCATAATGCAAGCATTGAAGGCATGTAAAATGCATTGTTCTTTGATTACTTCTGTAGAACTAGTAGGGTAAAAGGTACAAATCTTTATAACTGAATAAGAATGAAATCATTGAATGGATCCTTGCTGTTTTCAATTGAATGTTTGAAAGCATAATACTTCTAATACATTATTACCTGCAATTATTTGAGATAGGAGGAACAAGTATATTATGTTTATTATAAGTTGAGTTTATAAATGAGGAACTTTTATAGAATCTAGTTTGTAAAATTGACATTGTTTTCACAAAAATAAATTTAGCTTTATTCTAAAAAAATCTTTTGTATCTTTGAAGATGTGTCATAAAATTATATATTCCTCTAATTTAAATAGGACAACATTTTTGTTTTTAAATAGTATATTACTGCCCTAGGCCGGGAAAAACAGAAAAATCCCAGGGCACGTGAAATAAGTGACCCAAGCAAAGCCTCTGTCGATTAGCACATGCACTGGGACATTCTTTTTTTCTGGTATAGGCCGATATGCTATTTTACATACCCCGTGGCCCAAAAATAGCAATATTTCGTTTAGCGCAGCGACAGAAAAATGCTACTTTTAGGCCACTGGTATAAAAATGAAAATTTTTATACTTGTTATATTTATTGCTTAATGAATTTTTACAGTTGAAGATTCCATTATGGTACAGGATAATCATCACATCTCTGCAATAAATATGTGAAAATACTCAAGATAAAATAAGGTTATCTAAACAAAAGTGAATTATAGATCTTTGTGTCCAGTGGAAAAATCAAGTTTACTGCCTACCAACACAGTAGTATAGCTGCGCACAGTTCTCAACTGGCATAATGAATTCTGCGATAATAATTTAACACTTTAGAGGTGCTGCTCACATATATTTTATGTGTCATTGAATTATTTAACTTATTAGAACACTATGTACTTTGGATAAATAGATGCAAATATTTTAAGGCTTATATTTTCTTATAAATCAAAAGTAAGCATATTTAAAAAGTAAGCTGTGCATTTTTTTGTAAAAAGTATAGTCTTTGCAGAAACAGTGTTTCAGCAAAAGCATGCAATTTTTTGTGCTGTGACTGAGGTAAATTATTTTAATAGTGATATTTTAACTGCTGCTAGTATCTTGAATCAGCCATTGAAAGACAATTTCTTAAAATGCATTCAAGCTGATAATGAATCAAACAAATATTAGATTTTAGAAATTCAAAATGTACATATAATGTAAATTCTTCATTAGAAGCAACATGCAAGAGAAAAATGTATTTTATTTTTTGAAAAGAAGTATTTTAAAACAAGAGTTGAAGCAAATAGTTTTAGAGATTTCACGTACTATGGACTGTATGTGTTGAGGTTAGCTGAAATTTTAAACAATTGATTTGATAAAAATATTTGACTATTTTATCACAATTTAATAATTTAATATTCTTATTTCAGAATGGATGACTCAACTGTAGGCGTGGTGCAAGTATTCGTGGGCGAGTGGAGCGCTGAATATGAAGCACTATCTATAAGGGCAACAAAACAGACTTCTTCAACTGAAATAGTTGACTGTATCATAGAAAGGCTTAATCTACCTGATGGCAATATTCCAAATGGCTATGAATTAGCAGAAGTCATTGGTAATTCTGTGGGTCAAGAATGTAAAGAAAGGAGACTTGCACCCACAGAATGTCCTGTTGCTCTCATGCTATTGTGGCCAAAGAAAAATTCATCTCAACAAGAATACTATAAGTAAGTTGAGATTTATTTTTGCATTTCATTTTTATATTTTACTTTAACTAAAAAGATTTAAGTAAAATACTCATTACATAAATTGATTCTGTTAAATTTTTTTTAATATGACATTTACTAGTATTATTAATGGCAAAAGTAGTATCTTTTTTACTTTTATTGTACTTGTACAACTTTCTACTCTTATAAAAAGCGGAAATTGTAATCCTTACAATGATTTTCCAAACAATGAAACACAATAAAATTAGAATTTTGGAAAGTCCATCCATGATTGATTTTCATAATTTAAAATTTATTAGAAAAGAAAATCCTGTGGGTATCAATAATTAAAAATCATAATATTTTGAGTTTCACACGTCTATCTGTGTGTATTTTGATTTTATATTAATATACAATATATATTTATTCAAGAGATCCAATCGCGATCACATCAAAACTTTGACATGAATTCTTCTCGAGCTATTTGACAAAATTGAACACATTAAAACTTCATTCTTTATTAAAAAATTCCATAATTTTTTTTTCGACATTTTTTTTCAATTATTATATCGGCGTTATTTTGTAACTCTATAATTTTAGAAAAAACAGTCTTGTATTTAAATATCAAAACAAGTGTAAAACTGCTGAGTCTTTGAACAATTATAAATTTGTAGATGTTTTAAATTTCTTTATTAATTTTATCATGTTTTCATTAAAATTTTTAAATTTGAATGTTTTCTAGATTTTACCTGCGCAAACGGCAACCTACTGACAATCTTTGGTCAGATAGTCGTTTCCCGCTGGATCCACAGCTGCTCAAAGATTACTTCAATCGTTTCTTGCATCAACCAAAAGATAAAGAATACCCAGATCTTTGCCAATTGCCAGATCTCAATGAGAGGACATTGCTTGACAATCTGCGGGCTCGGTTTGAAGCCGGAAACATTTATACATACGTTGGCAGTATTTTGATAGCTGTCAATCCGTTCAAATTTTACCCAATCTACAACCCAAAGTATGTTAAATTATATCAAAATCGACGTCTTGGAACTGATGCACCACCACATATTTTTGCTATTGCGGATGCCGCTTATCATTCCATGCTCAAAGAAAAGAGAAATCAATGCATTGTTATAAGCGGAGAGAGTGGATCAGGAAAAACAGAATCGACAAATTTTTTGTTGCATCATTTAACAGCTTTAAGTCAAAAAGGCTCGCATGGCAGTGGGGTAGAGCAAACGATTTTAAGCGCTGGCCCTGTTTTAGAAGCTTTTGGTAATGCCAAAACTGCTCACAATAATAATAGCAGTAGGTTTGGAAAGTTCATTCAAGTTAATTACAAGGAGAATGGCATGGTTCATGGGTAAGTAATTTGATACACTATTTATAAATCAATTACAATCATAAAATTGATTATAATAACGATAATGATGATCAATGTTACAGAGCTGTTGTGCAGAAATATCTTCTTGAAAAATCAAGAATCGTTTCGCAAGGAAAAAATGAACGAAACTATCATGTGTTTTATTATCTGCTTACTGGAGCTAACGAACAAGAGAAACAAGTACTGCACTTAAGGAATTCTGATTGGTATCATTATTTGAACAAAAGTGGTTGTTATGGACTTGAAAATGCGGACGAACGACACGAATTTTCGAGACTGAAACAATCGATGGAAATGGTCGGTTTTACACCGGAGAAACAAAGAAGATTGTTTGCAGTTCTATCAGCTGTCCTTTTACTCGGTAAAAATTTATACTTATATTATTGAATGTTGATTTTTCAAAAAATACGGTTTTCTCATTAGAATATTAATTTTATAACAGGCAATGTAGAATTTCTACCAAAAAAGTCATATAATCACCATGAGGAAGTTATGGTGAAGAATCCCGAAGTCGTAGCCCTAATATCTGAACTTCTCAGAGTAAAGCAAGAGACTTTGATATTGTCCCTGACAGCTAAGAGAGTGAGGGCATCGGGTGAGACCCTCGTTATAAATTATAGATTGCCTGAAGCAGTCGCTGCTAGAGATGCTATGGCCAAATGTTTGTATGGAGCTCTTTTTGATTGGATTGTTTTGCAAGTTAACCATGCATTACTGTCAAAAAAAGAAACCACAAAAGATCACCAAGGCAACAGTATTGGAGTTCTTGATATATTTGGTTTTGAAGACTTTAAAGTCTGCAATAGTTTCGAACAACTTTGCATCAATTATGCCAATGAACAACTTCAACATTACTTTAATCAGCACGTTTTTAAATATGAGCAAAGTGAATATAAAAAGCAAGGAATTAGATGGACTGATATTGATTATAGTGATAATTCAGGCTGCCTTAATCTTATCGAGGGTAAACCCAATGGGCTACTATGTCTTTTAGATGATCAGTGCAAGTATGTGTAAATGATTGTTTTTTTGAATTAATTTTTTTTTGTTTATTAATGAAAAATAACTTTAATAGTTTTCCGGGAGCTTCGAATGAAACTCTCCTGCAGAAGTTCAATTCCGTTCACGAAAAAAATCAATTTTATGAAGCACCTCAACGAAGGGACAACACATTTATCGTTCGACATTACGCCGGTGCTGTGAGGTATCAAGTGGCGAACATGCGTGAAAAAAATCTAGACCTCATGAGACCAGACGGTGTTGTTGGTGTTCTAAAAAATTCATCTCTCGCTTTCGTCCGAGAACTTGTTGGAGCTGATCCCGTCGCTGTTTTTCGATGGGCAATTCTCAGGGCTTTCTTTCGGGCACATTTTGCATTTCAAGCCGCTGGAAGAGCCTACAGACATGGAAGAGGTATGTTTTTATTTTTATCGCCCTTTTATTTATCCTAGAGTGGTTTGAAATTATATTATTTTTTATTTTCGTTCGTGTGGCTATAGCTGACGGAAACAAATCATCTGTGCAGAATAGATACAGAACTCCAAACGAGAATGTGTTGAGGTGAGTGTTGATCATTTGGCTAACAATTTAAAATTGCAATATTTATAATTATAAAATGACGTATTCAATCCACAAATGAATGCATCACATGATTAGCGCTATCGAATGAAGATTTACTAAAAAACTTAGTAAATGCTAGTTTTGTGGTAAACATAAATTAATAATTCCAATTAGTATTTTTTCACTGAATATATAGCCGACAATATACGTTTGATAGTAATTTTTATTTTTGACCGATATGAGTGGTTACTAGTTTAATCTACGAGGAAAATTAATTACAGAATTTTAGTGAAGAAAACAACGAATAATTTGATTGTACTCACACTCACATTGTCCAAATTGTCTTTTGTCTCTGAATAGCCACCTTGTGACGTTATCTGCAGTCAATCTAACTATTAACCGAATAGCGTAAGTGGTTATCAGCTCCACTGTATGTGTAATGTTTCAAATGACCTTTGATTTTTTTTGTTTGTATTTTATTTGAATTTGATTACTAGATCGCATTTTTTTTTATTCTACGATTGGCAAAGCATTCCTCATTCGAAAATTTGTCTGTGTATGCAATGATTGGCAAATTTTTCTGCTTTTCAATTGGACTGCAATATCTAGCCTTTGAATTATTCTATGTGTCCTTTTTAAATTCAGAATGACTTTTTTTAAAATTAAAATTGACATTAAAATTAGCTCGTATTAAATAAATTTCATCATCGTGTTAACCACTACTATCGTTATCATCTTTATCATCATCATCATCATCATCATCATCATCAGCATCATCGTCATCATTATCATCATCATCATCATTATCATCATCATTGTCGCCGTCATTGTCATTATTACTTATGTAAAACTTAGACTTCTTATTTGCGTTAAGGGTTAGATATTTCTTTAAGTCTGTACACACGAAACTCACTAAGCGCGAACAAAAAATCTGTTAGCCCGTTTCTCGTATATGCGTTATATACGAGGTATAATACAATTAGGTCTAAAGAGAAGAGCCTCGTTTGCATTGCAGTTCGCACAGTAGTAGACACAGCCGAGCCGGCTACTCAAAACAACGGACCAGTGGCAGTGCTAGTGGTGTAGCTAGCGACAGTGTCAACAACAATCACCACCATCGACACAATCACTATCACCATCACCACCATCAACATCATAACAATAATGGTAGTAGTAGTGTCAGTAACAACAATCGACTTTCCTGGCCACAAATTCGTAATGTCAATCAGCTACTGGTTGCCGGAAGCAATGCCAATAATCGAGCCGAAAATCAGCAACAAACGCAGCAGCAACAAGTTTTTAGAGGAAGAATCGGCTCAGCTAAGCCGTTGCCCAGAGAAGAAGCTAATGTCATGGAGCGAGCCAATCAGATTGTTATGTACGTGCTGAAAATGTTAATACGCTTTTTTGCGAAGCAGAAAAAAAACTGACAAAAATTCATCGCAGAATTGAAGATAAGCTTTGAAATGGTTTTGGGATTCTATTGTACTGCTGCGTGGCTTTTTAGTGAATTTTTTCTCATGATTTTATACTACAATGGGATGATTGTTTAATGAGCTTTTAGAAATCAGAAAAATGACCAAAATATAATTCAAGAACTGCATGTAATAAAGTAATTGTACAAAGTAGAGATTTGTGCTTTAGAAGTCGACCACGTGAGAACTGAAACAATAAACGATATCCTCTAATACTTTAGGTGACGATAAAATAACGTATTACCGCGTTGTAGAGTTGCTTAATCATAAATTTCGAATTAATGCTGTAGGGTGAAGGGTCTTTTAAAATATTCGAAAACAGTTTTTATGAAAAAGTTTGTAAAGAATAATATTGAATCAGCCTACAGTAGTGTGAAAAAACGATTGTGTACATTTAGGCAACAATTAACGCCGTAGAAAATTGAAAATAATACCGATCACGCAACGTATACGTCTACTAATCTTTCATTCTAATCATTCACGCTTCGTAAATACCTATACTACTGTGCACATAATTTTTGTTTTCATCACATTCGCATTGTACTTCATCGTCATCATCATCTTTTTTCAAATTTTTTGCCTAGAAATTTATTATAGAAATGATTATGCATGCATGATTATCATTTTTTTTTACATTCCAAATCATTTTTTTCGTATTTTTTACTTCTTTAAAATATTTTTATCATCTAAGTTGTTCTTAAACAAATGCTATGTACTCGCGAGCAAATTGACTGTACTTATAGAATCATCTAATATAAATAGGCGAGCAATGAGTCAATTTGTTCGGCTTTATTCAGTTACCAGCTGCTAAAATTCGCACATGCGTAATATATTATAATGTTGTTGTTTGATTGCATGCTTTATTTTTCTTTCTTTTAATTATTTAAACGCTACAAAATGACAAATTATAATCTAAACATACAGTTAGGTATGTCAAATGAGCTTTTGAATTAATAGCTTTTTTCAAACGACTACACTTTAAGAGTATATTTCTAGGAATTTTACTCAAAATTCTAATAAATATTTACTAGGTAAAACGTTTAAATCATTTAAGTAATTCATCGGATAATAATTAGCTCTAACGTTGAGAATCAATTGAAATTATTTCTTTAATAGCATTGAACTCAAATAGGAGAGATATGCTTCTGATTGAACGACTAAACTGACGTTGAATTAATGTTACGCCAAGCGCAAAAGTGTATTATAACCACTGTTTCGGCTGAGACCATTAACTGATCATAGTGAAATTTTAATATGAAAAATAACACTGAGCAATAATTTTTTCTTTAGGAAAAACAAGTCATTCAGACCCCGTGAGCGAGGTAAGAAAGGTTTGAAGAATTTACAAACCGTCAAAACTTTAGCCGGTCGGACACAAAGCTACGGGACTGGTCCTGGTAAAGCTCGAAAACAGCCTATGACCGTTTCAGCGCAATTTCAACAAAGCTTGCACAGTCTGATGGATACGCTAAATCAAGCAAATCCATTTTTCATCAGATGCATCAAAAGCAACGGCCAAAAAGAACCGAACGAATTTGATGAGGAGACAGTTCAACGTCAACTCAGGTGAGTTTTTTTACACTCGAGAGCAATCTAAAATATACTTATATAGGCTCTCGGCACAAGAGTGTAAATTTGCTCTAGTTCAAGTGTGAATCAACTTTATTTGAGTGTCACTTCACTTTGCATTTAATTAGAAGTATTTATAAACCTCCGTGCTTGATTCACTGTGTTCAAGTGTTAAGATAATTGTTATCAAAGAAAAATCTCTCAACCAAAGTGCAATTTTCTCGAACACGAAGAAAAGTTTATTTAAAAATTTTTTCAACGGAACAAAAATGAGAAGCCAATTTCTTGATAATTTCCAATTTTTTAATAATGAGATCGAACAGAAGAGTTTTTAAGTTAATCAATATTAGACTTTATATTTTGTTTTCGATAAATATCTTGTAATGTTCTATTAACGAAAGTAAACGACGTTTTTACCGACTTCACTACCATCGTTGCAAATTTTCAGTTAATTAGTTAATTATTACTAAAATGAACTTTTGTATTGCATTGAAAAATTAACGATTCATGACTTTTCATCACAGATACACTGGAATGCTAGAAACTGTGCGCATTCGTCAGGCAGGTTTTAATGTTCGCCTTACATACGACGAATTTATTCAGTTGTACCGCATGCTACTGCCCAAGGGTCTTTCGTCAACGAAAATCGATATACGCGACTCTCTTCTGACATTCAACCTCAATCGCGACCATTATGAACTTGGTGAGACAAAGATCTTTTTGCGCGAATCTGAGAAAATCAAGCTTGACATCGAGCTGCATCAACAGATTATCACAAGCATCACAACAATACAGAATTGGTTCCGAGCGTGTCTAGAACGTCGTCGTTTTCTGCGACTTCGTAAAGCTGTGATAACTGTACAAAGCGCAGTTAGGATGTGGAAAGCTAGGAAGAATTACAAAATCGTCTTGAAACAAAAATCCAAAGCTGTTATTCAGATACAGTCGCTATGGAGGGCCTATAGACAGCGAAAGTATTATAAAAAACTTCGAGAATGGACAATAAGGTTTCAAGCTCTCACACGTGGTTATCTTGTTCGAAAAACTTTACCAGAATTACGAAAGAAAAAGAAAGCTGGTGTTAGTACTGTCGTTGTAAGCCCTGTGATTTCAAATAAAGAACAACGAGACCTTAAGACCACTCACGATCCGAATTTGAATTCTCTGCTTGAGAGTGAACGATTAGCTCAAAGTTTTGATTACAGAAATAGAATCGCTGCTTTAAGGTAAAACTTTTTTTTATTTTACGATAATCCCATATTCATATAGAATGCTGAAATTGTAAATGTGTAATTGTTCTTTATTGCAGTAGTAACTTTGAACCGAATTTCGAGCCGTCGTTGCCTTTGAAACCACGGAAATTAGTACCCGTGAAACAAAGCTCAACGACGAAAACGTTTTTGAACAACGAGGTGAATAGTCCTACTAACGTTTCAGAGCATCGCAAGAGTAGTCTTGAGAGTATAGCTTCTCTACAGAGCTACGAGTCTCAAGTTTCCGTGGAGTCTCTGGAATCACATCAACGCGTATCAACCCCACCACACCAGCAGCAGATTCAGCAACCACAGCAGGCACAACCCGTTCCGAACACTCGTGTTAGACGAATCGGTACTGTTGATTCGCAACACACACTTAGTACTGGCAGTAGTCGACCTTCTTCGTCAAGTCGTCGAACAGATAGCTCTTCAACAGGTTGTAGTGACGGTGAAAATGATGCTGAAACGCCTAGTGCCGTTCATAGCGCACCTCCAGTTTTTCCAAGTGTGTCGAGTTTTCCTAGTCCTCGAGAATTTAAATATCAGCAAGATGTTTGGCATAAGAAGTCGGAACACGATTACTATGTACCGCCGGTAGTACCCAAACCGACCATTACGCGATCACCAAATGTATCGCAGCATTTGCACAAGAACATGAGTGAAAGTCTACAAGAACAAGAAAGATTGAATAGAATTGAAAGACTGAATATGAATATGAAAATTGGTAAAATCGACAATCCAATGAGACGAAGAATGAGCGAGGATGAGATCAAAGAATATTCAAATTATTTGAGAAAACAAAATTCGGAAGAAATTGTATCAACCATGCAATCATCGGTGACGGTAGGATTGCCGAAAGAAAAAAGCGAACCTAATGTTCCGGTGAGAAATGCCCGTCGCAATAGACCACCTCGTGATCTTCAGTGTCGTTCAATGGGTGAATCAGTAATCGAAGTGCCGACCGAGCCGCGAAACAGTATTTTAAACACAATTAAAGAAAGTGATCTTGTCAAAGACGTAAATGTGTGGGTACAAAAAGAGGAGTCTCCTCCGAATTCTGAATGGTCGAACAAAAAGGATTCTCACTTCAAATATATGCCACAAGGTACTAAACGCATACGATCGGGTCAAACTCCCCCGAAAATGGAATTGAGGAGGCGCAATTCTGATCCAACGACTAAAACTTTATTGGGATCGCAAATTAAAAGTTCTGATAGTCCAACAAACGATCTTAAACCTCCGCACAACTCCACATTGCTTGAATGGAAGGGTTCCGGTACGCAGTTTTCACTCGCTGGGCATAATTTCAGGAAGATAGCAAGGTTCAGCAAAGATGACGTTTGCGTATGCTGCAATGAACAAATGGATGCATTTGTCACCCAAGGTTACAAATGCACTGATTGTAAAAAACCGTTCCACGTAAAGTGTATTCAAAACGGAGGAGTTGTTAAAATATCTTGCGTATCTGGAAATACTCCTAATCGTCGTAATAAGCGAAAATCACCAAGAACACCTTACGAACAAAATAAACAAGGAGTGTCATCGAAATTTAGTCTCACTGGTACTTCGGCCTACTCAGATAGTACTAATCAAATTATAGCTTCCGAAAAAGAGCTTGGTCTCATGGAAGAATTTATAATGAAAAAAATCGAAATCATGGAGGTTCAAGATGATGGCAAAAAACCTCCAAGTGAAGTTGATCGCGTATTCAAAAAAGCCCTAAGGAAATTCAAAGATGAGTTAGTTATGACTTACAGTGTAGTGATTCAACAAGGAAATGTTGAAGGAAACATTAAATATACGGACTTGATTGCAAACTTTGTACAAGTAATCGAAAACGTGTGCAAACAAGAAAATTTGAAAGAAGATTTTCCTGTGACTATGGGCGTAAATGCATTTCGTGGTTTCATGAATGAATTTATGGTGCAAGCAAAAACTGAGTCCTCTGAAAAGAGTAGTAAAAGTAAGCGTAAACGAGAGAAAAAAGATAAAAGTAAAAAAGACGATCCAATTCCTCATGGCAAACACATGTTTCAACTTACTATCATCAATATACCAACAGCTTGCGAGCTTTGTTCCAGTTTTTTCATGTGGCCAATCGAGCGAGGACTTGTTTGCCAGAGTAAGTATGGTTACTATTGAAGTATTCCCTTTTGTCACAATTAACTGCACTATGTTTGTAATAACGTCAATAGAACCTTCTTTTAATATGAATACTAGCAAAAATATAATTTTTAAAGCGAAACAATATATAAACCTTTATTCTGGTTTTTAACGCTTTTTACTCATCAATTACTCTCGCACCCTTTATAAATACCTCTTTGTATTTGCACTATTATCAACATGTATCAAGTGTAACTATTAATTTTTTCAGACTGTAGATTGACAAGCCATAAGAAATGTTACAGACGCGCTAGCAAAGAGTGCAGCAAAGATTGCCCATCATCAGTTAAAATGGAACTCAATTCGCATAAGGTGTTTGGTGTACCTCTGTCCAAACTGGACTGCGGTGATGGTAGAATACCTTTAGTGGTTGATCGATTAATTACAACAATCGAATTACATGGTTTGTATACTGAAGGAATATATCGCAAAAGTGGCGTTAGTTCAAAAGTGAAAGAGCTTAAAAATGCGATGGATGATGAGGGGCACGAGAATATTGATTTTAAAAATTATCAAGTTCATGTGCTCGCTGCTGTGCTGAAAAGTTTCCTCAGGGATATGCCCGAACCTTTGTTAACTTTCGAATACTACGACGACTTTCTTCATGCAGCTAGCTTAACTGAACCAGCGGACCGCGTTAGGTACAAATTTAATATATTTAAAGCCTAAATATAAATAATACCTCAGGATCATAATTTAACTTGAATTTAATTTTTTACAGTACATTGTACGGTATTCTTAAAAAGCTACCTAGGCCTAACTATGATCTAATGGAGCGCCTCATACTTCACTTGGCTCGTGTTGCCTTTCACGAGTTAGATAATCGAATGTCACCATCGGCGTTGGCTATTGTTTTTGCGCCTTGTATTTTACGTACTCATCGTACCTTGCCCGCACAAGACTCACTCCAAGACGTTGGTCGTCAGACGAGGTGCGTCGAAACTATTGTCGAGGAAAAGCTTCGAGCACTTACAACAACACTCGCAGACATCAACGACCTCGATAAGGCTTGTACGACTGCAAATAAAAGGTTGTCGAGTCTCCGGTCATCTAAGAACATGAGTCCAGAAGAACTGAGTACGACGTTGTCGAACGTCGTATCCAGATCTGCAGCTGGCCCTGACGAAGAAGTGGCTGCTTTGGTAGGGCACATTAAAACCATCCAACAGGAGAAAGCTTTGCTGACCTCGACTCTGCCGAGCTTAACAAGGGCCTCGTCCGATGACGATTTAATTTCAGCTAATGATTTGGACGATCCTTCAATCGACGATTCTCTTGTGCTGCCATCCGCAGGTATGACACATACATTTTTCAGAGTATTGAGACTCTGTTAATAATTTTTATTCTAAGTGGCAATTTTTGCTAACAGACGGACTACTAAGGAAAAAGCCGATCCAGAGACAAGACTCGGCGGAAAGCAATTTTCCGTCTATCATCAACGTCGATGAGGACATGGTAATGGTGTGATCTACGCAGAGCGTTAGCGAGCTCTTTTAAACTCACCGAACGCCAAAAACCTCGTTGAGATTCATTCTAATTCGGTCAACATCAATTAAATAGGTTCATAAAAGTAGATATCCTGAAAAAGATTTTTTCCGGGGTACAATGTTCATATATACATACATATGTTAGCGCTAAATGCTTAATGTTAAGTTAACTTTTTAAAATTTGGTCTACTTGTCGAATGTGGCGTGACAAAGCTAACTATTAATGAAGAAGAATTTGAGGATGTATAACTTCTATATTATATATTAAATAGTAAATTTAATAATAGTAGTAAGAGAAAATGTCGTGTTGCTATGAAGGATAAGCTGAAATAGTTTTTTTTTCAAAACTTATCTTCGTAAAAATGCACTCCTCATGGAAGACTGCGATATTATTCGTCATAAACTAATTTTGAATATTGTTACGAGCCTTCTATACATAGATATGTAAATGATGTACTTGTTACATTCATTTACACGATATTTTCATGTGTGATTTTTCAATTCTCCAAGATGAGAAACGCTATCGCTTTGCGATCATAACGAAAATTTTTGATTTATTAGCTCTTGTATGAAAATGACTTAGCGAACAAAATATTTAAAGGTATTCATAAAGAAGCGATCATGACGTGCGTTTATTTCGATAGGGCAAATGTTTAATTGAGAATGAATGTAAAAACATTTAAGACTTTCCACATGTCATAAGCGATATTATCTTACGTTAAATTATTCTTTTTTTTCTATCAAGCGTGCAGAAAATAAAATGTGTAAATGAAGCTATATTAATAAGTGTACGCATGGCAAAAGTTTCTGTGTGACTGATTAAAACTATAACCCAAAATAATTTTAGAGCTTGTATATAATCTATTGAAAAAAGTATATAAATTGTTGCTGTTTCTTGCAGTTGACGTTACCAAATTCATAATTCTACTATTGATTTTTTCTATATACTTATGTATATAAGGGTACAGAGTGATGGTGGAGCGATAGTATATGTGTATTTTCATATGCATATACTCCATACAATCGAATTGATGCATTAAATCAATTTCATTTTATATAGAGCGCTCAATGTCAATTGAATTAATCTTCCAATTTGTTCTTCCTTTATCCTTGTGTATAAAGATATGTCCCAATTAATGATGAATATGTGAGCGCATCTATGCGTTTTTTTTGTATAATTATGATCTATATTTTATATGCTACGATGTATTTAGCATACTTACACAAAAATAGGCTTAAAAAAGACCATTGCAAGGCGCAGAACTGATTGATTTTAATTAATCATAGAATCGTAAATCACAATTCGTTATCAATATTATTTGTATCAAAACACAAACACATAGGTTTTAGTATTATGAAATAAGATAGATAACTCCGATTTACATATACATACATATATTATATATTGTTTTTATTATTTTTTATTCATTTTTGTATAAGACTTTTAAATAATAGTATTCATGATTTTGGTGAAAAAACAAACATCATATCATTCAATGTATAAGTCGTTCGTGGCGAGCATAATAGCAAATAGTTGAGAATATGAAGTATGTAATTTTATTTAGCAAACAAAACTATAAAAGCGCTAAATTTAGAATAATTAATCACTGTTTCCAGAGATTTCGTATATGTTGTTGAATGAAATCATGAGAATTTTTATTTAACAAATGATTGATCGCCACGAATGTTTTTTTATGTTTTATGAATTAAATATAATACACGTTTTTAAAAACTGTAAATACTATAAAAAGAGCTTCCAACATTTTTTAATTCATGGTTATGCACAAAACTTTTTACCCATTCCTAAATAATCTTATATATTTTATTTCTTCGTTTTATAATTTTTTAATAATATTTTAAGAGGTATTAGCACAAATTGCATTTAAAATATTCATTTTAATCTCATTGATCTTTTGTATCATTTACACTTTCAATACAATATTTTAATCGGTCTTACATCGTTTACATGGTTGCGAATGTTAATCAGAGTGATATCAATGACGGTGATGCATTTTGTTAATATAATTAGTAAGTTTGTATTATTAAATGAATATCGATACATAATATGAAATCGGTAATTAGTGCTTCTAAAATCATTTCAGCGTCATTCTCATTGCACTCATTACAGTATTTACAATTCTGAACCCACGCTCATTTTTGCATTAACAGCTGATCTAGTAAGCGCAAATGTTTCAAGTATAAGTGTGCTAAATACAGCATTAGTCGTTCAAAATTGAGTGATCAAATTAGTTTATTCTTTTTTGTGAAATCATATATCATATATCCAATTCAAATTTAAGCTATGACATTCAAAATCGCAATAATTAGAAAATCGATAATAAAATGAAAGATAATGAAACAATGAAAGACAAATCAAACTTTTGCGTAAAAATATCTTAATTAGCTTAATACATATGCATGAATGAAAAATGTATATATTTTACTTACAAATAAATGAAAGTTTTATGATTTTTAAAAAGTTTGAGATGATGTGTTTTTGTTTGATAATTTTCGCAAAGGATCGAGAATCTTCTATTGAATAAAAATTCAAGATCTTGTAAAATGGCAAAAATTTGATTCTTCACCCGTGACTCTGCCTGTCTTCTACAATAATGGGTTGAATGTTTTACTTATAAAATCCCGTAAGAGTTTTGATTACAACAATTTTCTTTGAAAGAAAAAATAGCGTGAAAAACAAAAGAGAAAATCTAAAAGGAAATTCATGAGACACTGTAAGTGGTTATTAACGTATTTAATATTCCACTAAGAGTATCAACATTTTTGGAACAGCACAGTGTCAGTATATTTTTTAAAATTTTTATGTGATATCTAATAACAGCATTTAAAATGGTAAAAATAATGAAGTATGAAAAATTATGAATGAAGAAATTTAATGATAGTATAAATTGTAGTAATTTTTTACGATTTTTAATTTATTTTCTTGACATTTTAACGGCTATGTTGATTCTATGTTTTCTATATACAATGATATCGGACTGTGAATTCATGGGAAGAAACTTAACACAATGACAATACATGCACAAGTTTCCTGAATAAATTCGTTTAAATTTTTTATCTTGAAAAGCAAATACTATGTGAGTTATTAAAATAATGTCGAATTTAAATACAATAATTTAATTTTCACTGTTGATAACTGTGCATATTTTTTAGTCTTTTGAGACTTATTATACAGAGTACAATGAGAGTGTAAATTTTTTTACAGGGTAATCATAGCTATTCAATCAAAGATACATGCATTTTTATTCGAAAATTTTTTTTAATAAAATACATTTTTTTTGTTATTTTTCTATACATCTTCAACAATATTGAATGGTACATTTACATCAATTTGAAATATTAATTTAAAAAATACACCAGAAAATTACCAATTTATTCCACGATACTTGCATCAATATTTATCATTTCATGTAGAGTAAAAACAAATAATACCAGATTTGTCAAAAAGATTCTTCTGGTACATAATAATGTAGCCCCTTATAGTCAGTTCGATCTTCTAGGCCCTGGAAAAAATTATAGAACACAATGATGTTTTAATTATTATATGGGTTTGGCTATTCAGGAGAAAATTCGTAACTAGAAGGGAAAAATAACCCTAGAGATCTCTAAAAAAGTATGATTTTCGTACATTAAATTCAAACATGACTAGAATTTTGCCCTGAATAGACACGTCGCACCATGATACGCTAATTTATGATATTATATAATAATCGAAACTTCATTGTGCTCTTCAATTTTTTCCAGCACCTAGAAGATCAAACTGGGCTTTATCATTATGTATCAGAAGACACACAAAAAAGTTTTGTGAAAATCTGTTAAAACGAATAAACCTTAAAAATATATTACGCAAAAAATCTCTGTAAAAAATGGAACTAAATGCTATGCATTTACGTATACATAGTATAACTATGTGAGAATTTTACGTAAAAGTGAAATGAAAATTATATGAAGTCGAAAAAGGAACTGGAGTTATACACCTCAAGAGAGCTTGCAGGGCAACGAGCTTGGCAGTGTCAAGGGTAATCTTATTTTTGTAAACTTGTGCGTCTTTGTTCGTTGTGTATAAAATGTAGTAAAAGTATTTTAGTACTCTGATGTTTTTGTGGGTACTTCGAAGAATTGAAAAACAAATGAATGATGCGTAAGTGATGCGGTATTTTGTAATAAACAGCTTTAAAATATAACAAAGTACAAACTTTTTTAGTGTTAAGACTGTTGATAATGTGTGTGTGAAATATAACGTGATGCCCGTAATGCTCAATGTTTTCTTAATTTATAATATATAATATAAGAAGGTATATTTTTACGGATTCGTTAATGCCATCAAAAGTGCAATCGTACGCAAAAATACTACGTATAAATTATTACTTTGTGCAGGATATGGGAACATTTAAATATTGCGAGCCGTTGCCCTTCAGTAAGCAAATGTAATTAGGAAAAAAGCGGAGTTTACAAGGCGACCAATCGGTAATAGAAGAAAATAGGTGTTGTAAAATAATGTATATTTATATGATGTCTTGCGTGCTATTTTATTTGCGCGAAGCATTCGGATAATCTAATGCAAAATATATCCTTGCTGCATACATCTTATATTTCATTGACAAAAACAAACTATAATTTGAAAAAAATCATAGTTGAGCATGTACGAATAGATTAAAAAAGGATTTAATTATATTTTTAAACAGTAGTACTGAATTGTACATTTTTCATACCCAAGGTGTAAAAATATTTAAATATCACTTATACATAATATAATTTGGTACACAGTTCATTTACTGCGTATTATAACACGTTACTATGATTTAAATGTAGGTGTCATGTACATCTTATTGTTTGAAAATTTTTACTCGAGACGCATATCGCGTATCAATACTATCTGTTATGGAGTATACTATATAAATACGTATAAACGCACCATAACGTATACATGTCATTATTTCAAATATATGTGTGTTTGTAAATCAGAATAAATATAGGTACCTACTTTTATGGCATTTTTTACTTTGTTGTATCGCTTTGCAAAAAAAAAAAAAAATGATTCCATTTTGCAGGTATGAAAAACTGTACCAATTTTGGTTCAGATGTCCCTATTAGCGAAAAATTAATTTTGTCCTACAAGCTCAAAACATTATTTCTTTATCTAAATATTGCACATGTCGTACAAATTTTTAAGTTTTCAAAATAGATCTCATTGAAAATGGACAGAAATAGGGACATGAACGAAAATTGGTACAGATTCTTTCATTATTCGTTCTTCACAATATCGATAATAAATTAATGCGTTCTGTTTCATTTGACGAACAAAACGATACAATATACGTGTAAGAATACATATAAATTCAAATTTAAATGCTCGTGTGACGATTAATTATCTACATGAATGCAAATGCGTAGGAAATCAAGATAATTTTCAGGATAGCTAATGGATAACATATATATGAATGTAAAAGTGTGTGAATGATCTATCACGAACTGTATTTTATATAAATATTTTTAAGGTAAGAAAAATGAAATATTATGTACAGCATACACCTCATGTTATTAACAAAAAATACAAAACAATAAATATATGTATATAAATTTATACTTCGAGTTCAAGATTATTATTTTTTATGTTCATCGAAAATAGATGCAATACCTATATTATTCCTCCATAAATAAACGCAACGAAACCTGCAGCTTTAATAATTTAAAAGTACTTAGACTTTACATGTAAATGTTATAAATTACATTCATAAGGTATTTGCGGCAAGACTTTACAATAATACGTAGAGCCTGGCGTTACGTAATTTCATTATCTTTATTTTCTTATTATCACTCTCATACACAAAAGCTCCGCTCATACTCATCCCGCACTTTCTAAAGGTAAACAAATGGACAAAGATACTGTACGCCTTTATTTGCGCGGCATGCGTGTATGCGGATCGCTGAATAGCTTTTATCGGACTTGTTGCGAAATAATATAAGAAAAGCTCCTATTTATAAGGCCAATAAAAGAGTCGTTTAATTTATAACGATGCTAGGAAATCGTGGTAGAAATCGCACAGTGAATAAACGAGTGCCGAGAAGAATAAAAAATCGACTACCCCTCGACACAAATACAGGCACACACATTTATACACACACTCTCAGGTGCACCCGTATACACATCTATATAAGTTACTCGAAAGGGATAATGACCTAAACTCTCGTTTTAAGAAGAAGGAGAGTGAGTCGAAATAGCTGCTGGAGCCAGAAGGGTAGAAATGAAATTTCGGCTGATTTAACCGACGCGTACCATCGGAGAGCAGGAGAAGGAAAGGAAGAAGAAGAAGAAGAAGAAGAAGAAGAGAGAAACAAGAAGGAAGCGAGGAGCGGGTG